GGAATCTGATGTACTGTGTGGCTTGTTTTATAAATTTTAGCTTTGAAATAGAAGCAGAAAGCAAGATAAAACATTATGATCCTTCATACTACTGATACAGAGCTCATACCTCAGGACTTGTAAGAATTTATTGATTCTTTTCTTCATCCAACTCATGCTTTAAAATGAGGGTAATTAATAGTACTCTTGGTTTTTATACCATTCAGATCACTGAATTGATAAAGTACCCATTTAATACTTGGAAAATAAAGTGTTCCAGTTAGACTTTGCTCACAGGACCCTAATATAGTATATCCCAAGTGCACTTTCTAATGTTTCTGGGTCCTGAAGAATCAAGATACAAAATAATCTTATTCCATAAATAGACTGTTAACTATCAAAGCCTTAATTTTTTCCTCACAGATTTGTCTTATTGCATCTCAGCAATTATTCTGCCCTCCTAAATTTGAGAAGGAGTGCATTTTCTCTGGAATGGTACATGTCTTCCATGTATCTTTTGAACTGGCAGTTGTCTTACCTTATTTTTTTCTTCTTTGAAGTCAGTATGGTCTAACACTGGCACATTCAAAGCCACATTATTTCTAGTCCAAAATCGCAGGTAATCAAAGGTATTTGGGGTAGACATTCATATTACTATCTAATGGTTTGCGAAGCTTCAAATTAAAATAGATACATTAGAAAAAGAGGCGCTTTCCCTCCTGGAACCTAAAGGTTTATTTAAACTATCTTGTGTGATTAACTTATTTAGAGATGATATAATTTAAAATAGGTATTTAAAGTAGCATCAACTAGATTTTTAGGAAAATCACTTTGTCTAAACTCAGAGTTCTTTTTAAAAAGAAATCTGGTCTTATTGCTAGAAAATAATTTTATTTTGTGGTCAATTAAGTTTCAAACTTTTGACAGTTATCTTGATAACAAAGACACTAGAAAGCTTTACTCCAGTTTGTCATTAATTTTTGCATGAATTCCATACAAATCAGTTAGATTTGAGGTCAAGGGCTTCTCGTGTGTCTGGGTTTTTGGTTAGTAATTTCATGTTAGGCTTAGTGCCAGAATTTTAGAAACTTCAGAGATCGTGTATTGAGATTCTTAAATAAGGCTTCAGATTGCTTTATTGCTTTTTGTATTGGTTAAAATTGTACATTTAAAATTGCTGTGTTACCACTTTCTACAATAGTTTGTCTATTTTAAATAAATTAGTTAAGTCCTAATAATAGTCTAATGTGGTCTTTTTATTAAGTGCACTAATGTTCTCTTCTACATTTTTAACTTTCATCTATATCCATTCTTAGCCCTTAACAGGCTTTATATACAGAAGATACCCATATTTATTTATGATTTAAATAAAATGTATAGCCTTGACCTCTTCATACTGGTCAAACCCCTCATGACCAATAGAACTCTTGATTTGTAGTTTTCCCTCACCCTAAGACTTCTCATAATATAAACCTAAATCAGACAAAAATACCTTGTTTTTATCCGTCTTTACCCATTTTATTAAATATTTGCTCAAGCCAAAAGCCTGTAAAAGTTACCTCTTAATTTGTGTATCACCGATCCTTATTCCCTGAGTACTAACTGATCCCTATTCCCTCTTTTTTCTCTTTACCATTCAGCTCTTCAGAGAGAAAAGCAGATTTTTTTATATGTATTTTATTTATTTCTTACATCATTTTTCATTTTTGCACAATGTATGCATTTTCATCTTGGTTATATTCCCCATACAATTGCAACCCTCTGATTTTGACCCCAATCCCTCCTCTCCCCCAACCCCTATAGTGTGTCTCTGGTTTATAGTTGCTTGTTGATTTTGATTTTTTCTTTCTTATAGTTATTCTTTTTCCTGGTCTCTTATTTAGGTTTTCTAAATTCCTGCTATGAATGAGACCATCTGGTATTTTTCTTTTTCTTTCTGGCTTACTTCACTGAGCATGATCCCTTCCAGCTCCATCCATGTTGCTGCATGAGTTTATCTTTTCTTGATTGCTGAGTAATATTCCATTGTGTATATATACTGCATCTTCTTTTTTTATTTTTTATTTTTTTTGTTTTAACATTTATCATTTTTTAAAAAGTTTTTAGACAATGTTTGCTTCCCCCGACCCCCTCAGGTTGAGTCCCCATAGAATTTCCTTCCCCAAGGCACCCATACACCATCACCACAAGCAGATTTTCTTTTTAAAATGTAAATTGATTTACATTGCTACTGGACTTGAACTATTCACCCTTTTTTGACCTGTGAAGCCATTCCTTCTTCTCCCTTCTCTCCTCTTGCTACTTTTCCTTGCTCTCAGTGCTTTGGCTTCATTGACCATTTCTCATTAACTACAACACCACACCCTAGGTTTTTATATTTGCTATTCCTTCTGCATGTAGTGCTCTGCCCCCCAAATTTTCTATAGCTGGTTTCTTCCTCTTTCATAACTCAGCTCAAAGATTTTCCATGACCATGCCAGCCAAAATCCTTACTTTGTGTCACTCTCAAAAGTGTGACAGCATTTGTCACCTATTGCCTTGACCTGCCTATTTCCTATACCCCCTACCCTCAAAAAAAAAAAAAAAAAAAGTTATAGCTGGAAAAACAGCAAATATAACTCAATATCCTGTATTTATGTTAGATGGGACTCTTAGATGAAATGCAGTCTCTTAGGTCAAGACAAAAATCAAGCAGCCTTTAGGCCCTACACTTTTTGTCTAGGTGGTAGAAAATTGATCACTTCTGAAGATTAATTTGGTATTCCAATAATTCTTTCTTAAAAAGGGGAGAAGTTCAAATTTATTTACTTTGTATTATATTTTTCTGCTAAAAATGGGGGGAAAGGGATTCTACATGCTAATTCTATTACCATCTGGATCATCCATGGAAACGTGCCTAAAGAAGCATATTTTTGTGTTAAATAGTGTACCCAGCATTGGAAACGATTCATTTGTTATAATTTTTCACTGAACTAAATAGATATTTCACAGGATAACATGAATGAAACCTTATCTCTAGATATACTACATTTCTATAGGTATAGCTTCTTACAGAGTAATGTATTATGGTAACACTAAAGTCTGAGTAGGATTAAAACATGCTTATTTAATAAGAACTTGAGGTGGTGATCTATTTTTAAAAATATGTTTTTATGTCCATTATTTGGGGACTACACTTGTAAATTGTGATGATAAAAATTTAACAGTAAAGTTTAAATTTATTCCATAGATCAACATGCATTACTTCCTACACAGAAAATGTTTTTAACTGTATTTAATGACACAAAATCAGTAGTTTATGTCTTCATATTTTGGCAAAGACTGAGTTAAAGATAGTAGTATCATAATTTTTCTTTTCTCTTTGCAATTCTTAGAACACTATGTAATTTATAGTTGCTTCATTTTCGTTGTTTTTGATAAAGAATCTTGCATCTAGATGAACCTCACCATGTTATGATCCAGAATGACTGTGACAATTTCTTCAGGTGTTAGCTGAGGAACATTAAACTTTGCTTTTTATAAAGCACTTAATGGTATCTTCACAAACCTCTATTAAAGAGAAGGACAGTATTTTATTCCTGTAAAATTTTAACCTTTCTCTGTGTAAGAGTATAATTATATTGGAAGCACTAAAACATGAATTTCCTCAAGCAAGTAGAGAAGAAACAAAACTTAAGGATAAAAAAAAATCTAAGATGAGCTTATGTAGAAGAAAAGTATCCATTAGTTCCTGAAGGAGTATCATTATAAAAAAAAGGTTATACCTTTTCTTTCCTATATCCCTAATTGTAGAGCAGGGTTTTAAGGCTCTATATCCATCTGTTAGAAATACAAGAAATAGTGTTTTTATCCTCTACACAGGAGTGTTCATGGCAAGCCTATCCTCAAAGGCCAGAAATAAAGCAAGTATTTTCAGAGACATGTCTCCATGGGTCTCATTGGTGAGCTTCAACCTGGTCTAAAATTAGTTCTTCCCCAGTTTTAAGGGCTAAAGCAATGATACTCATATTCTTGGCTAAACATCAAAATTACTTGTGAAGCTTTTTGAGTATACTGATTTAGAATCCTTGAATATGTGTTTTGTAAAAGTTTGATAATTATATTATACCCAGAGTCACTGAGATATACAGGTACAAAACTGCATATAACAGTGCTCAGAAAATCTAGATAAAAATGCATCCAACCAGGGCCTCCCTGGTGGCTCAGTGGTTGAGCACCGCACTGTGAAGCTGTGCGCAGCCTCTGCAGTGCCTGTTCGATTCCCCGCCGGCCAGGGAGAACCCCACATGGTGCAGCAGACCTCTCCTGCCTCGCCTGATGCTCCCCCCTCAGCAGTGTCTTCTGTCCCTCTGCCTGTTCTGCTTCCTGCTCTGGCTCTGGTGAATTCTCTCACCCTCCTGCGCTTCTGACCTGTACCCCAGTCCTTGTATGCATAAATAAATATATCTTGAAAAAAAAATGCATCCAACCTTTCTTAATAAGGCTTTGGAAGACATTGTAAAGATGTAAAGGCTCTGGTCAGTTAGGACTAGCATCAGAAGGTGAGGAGGAGAGATCAGAAACAAAAACTGTGGTTGTCTACCCTACCAGAACCGGGGGAGCTAAAGGTCATACCCAGGTCTGAATGTTCCTTTGCTGGATAAAACTGAAAATCTACCAAAAAATAAAAACAAATGGCATATTCCTAACTTTTAAAATAACAACTAATTAAGACTATATTTTTTTTCAAAAATAGGTTTCTGGTTTAGAACTAGAGGCACCTGAGATTATGCTCCCTCTACTAGATAATGTCTGCAGATACAGATAAACAAAAGGAAAGTAAGGTTTTAAAAGTGACCTCTCCAATAAAGCGCAGTCACAGGCAACAATATGAATTGTAATTAAGTTGTTTTAAAATCATTTGTTTTAGGGTGGACTTTGCTATGATACTATTACCTGAGTAACTGCTTTAAAATAGAAGTTTATATCAAGTGGATTTTATATATCCAAAAAACGTGGTTAATATAATTTTGCTGTTTTCTGAGGAATTACAACACATTTGTTCTATTATCTGCAAATAAGCTTTTATTATCAAATAGTTCAGCATTGAACAAGGTTTCTAATTCCAAAAGCATTTTCTTTACATAGTATCATATTGTGAAATACATATGAGAAGAATCTATATCCTACCTTCCAGCTATTCTTCTGCATTTGTATAAGTTGTTTTAATCTAAAAAGTATAAATTCATCTCATTCTTCTTAATGCTGACCACAAAACATAAGTATCAATTGCTTTTCAGCTATTACTTTATGACTATACCATGCCACATTAAGGGACTTGCTTTATAGTGACGTAAAAGTCAACTACAAGAAAAACACAATCAATTTTGCTTACGGGGGCAAATCTCTTTTAACACAAATGTGAAAGGATATGCAATTTTGTAAGGCAGATGAGCCCAGAAACATTCATTCAAAGACAACACTTCATATTTAATGATTCCATGTAAGAATTAATATCTCAAAATAAAAAGAAAATTAAAATTAGCCCTTGAGCCCCTGACAATTGCCAAGGCCTTTGTGAATCCTAATTAATGTTATAAATTAGCCACTGTTTCTCAGCACATCTACCTGAAGGATATGAAGCTCAATAGCTACAAACTTTTAAATTTGTATTTGTGCAAGTTACTCCTTCATCCACTATCCTGCAAATGAATCTATTGTCAGGGCATACCTAAGTTTTATAAAAAATTAACTGAGTGCCTACTGTATGCGAGGCACTGTGCTTGATGCAGAAAACATGGTAGTGACAGCATTTCTTGTCAAAGTATCAGCCTGTTGAATAAGGGAACATTTGGCCAGCAAAACATACACTTAGACCATTTACCAAAAATGTCCAACTTAAGTGACTCAAAAGAAGAAATAATAAATATAATAAGACATTTTCATTTTCTTTCCCCTGAGCTTAATCACATCTATCAGAACATTTTAATGCCTTCTATGTAAACTTTGAATTTCAACAAATGGGAATACTGACCACAATCCTTTTGACAGAACATAAGTTTTCAGCAAAATGCAGTTCATCATAAATACTATTAAATAGGAATTATTCTCTGGCTTTTGCAGTGAAAATGAAAATGCTAAAATTGTTTCCCACAGCTAAGGATCAATTTTTAAAGGCTCCAACTCTGCTTGCTTTGCTGATAAAGTTCTTCAGGAGATCATGGTCCATTTCTGCAAAACCTGAAGTTTGTGTTACTACAGTCAAATGGTTTATGCAAAACCTGAAGCAGAATTCTTCTAAATCCTAGGAACAACAATAAAAGTGTTTCAGCAAATTTTAATTTACCAATGCAATGCAACATAACATGAACATTCCTAAAATACACAGGAAAGGGAAGAAATATTTGATAGCTAAGAAGAAGTGCTATTATGTCAATATCTAAAGAACAGTTAAAAACTTGCATAGCTAATATAACCTGTGCTTAGGAAAAACGAAAACAACAGAGTAAAACATTCAAGTTCCTCCACAACAGTGAATACAAAGAATCTGACTTCCCAGAGATAGGTGCCTATGTGCTATGTGCATCAATTCTGTACCTTTTTCTAGTGACAATATTTGTATTCATTCTACTTTCATTATTTGTTAAAAGTACGACATCCCTCCTTTATATTCCTGTAAGGGCTTTACTATTTCTGCCCTTATAAAGAGTTTGTGAGAAAAGATTAAGCCATTAAAAAATGGTCACACTACAAAACTAAAGTCATTAGCAAGCCAATACACTCTTTATCCTTTACAAAAAGACAAAAGTTGGGTTTCATCAGACCACACATACCTCAATAATCTTAACTTGGAAAATGCTTTGAAATGCTCTGAAGAAGTTAAGACTTTCTCACTGCTAAGTGAAACTCCGCAGATTGCTATTTTCTGGCTTACTGTAATGCCAAGAATAATCCTATAGTAATTCTGTTGATTAGATCTGTAATCTTGAAATGAAAATGAAGGTGGCTGTATGTTTTTTTGGCACCAGAGAAATTAGAGCGAAAGTGAGGTCAACATGCAGACTCCCACCAATATGCCTCAGACCCTGGGCTGCATGGCCACTTTGGCCCAGGACAAAGTGCTACAGGTGGTGGGCAAAGTTTTCTCTCTGTCACTGAGACTAATTTATAAAATAGACAAAGCCCAAAATGTTCTGCAAGCAATTATATATGCACATTGTATATAGGACTTTTTCCTCAGACACAAATTATAGCAAATACCGAAGGTGGGGAAAAAAAAAAAGGGGCCTCCCTGGTTCTGCAAGGGGTTGAGCACAGCGCTGTGAGGCTGTCAGCAGCCTGTGCAGCACGAGTTCGATCCCTGGCCGGCCAGGAGCAACCCACATGGCGCAGCAGACCTCTCCTGTCTCGCCCGCTGCTCCCCTTAGCGGTGTGTTTCTGTACATCTGCCTGTTCTGCTCCCTGCTCTCTCTAGCAGATAATCTCACCCCCAGTGACTCTGGCCTATACACCACTTCTAAAAAAAAAAAATAAGCAATACTGATATCTATACCAGTATATGCACACATCCAACAATCAGCTGCTTTTTGCTTTTTTCCTTCACCCCATATTCAATCCATCAGTAAGTCCTGTTGGCTTTGCCTGCCTTACCAAAATCCACTTTTGCCATCCCCTCAGCTAACAGCTTGGACAGCTCCACCATCATTATTTAATGGGTGATACTGTTTCCTAACTAACTGCCCCCGTCACCCTCACACCACAGCTACATTATTTCCAGATGTCATTCAGATCATGTCTGCTCCTCTCCAGACCCTTCAATGACTCTCTCATATTAGAACTCACATCCCTTAATCTTGCCTGTTAGATTCTACAGGCACTGCCTCCTTCCACACACACCTGTCCTCACGTACATTTCATTTCCCCTACTGCTTTTCCTCTTCCTTTGCTCTAGTCCACTCACACCCCACTGGCTGTCCTATTACCAGGGCCTTCACTTTGCTCTTTCTGTTATCTGCAGTGTCCTCCCAGCATGTGACTTCAGAGCTCCTTCCACACCTCCTTCAAAGTCTGTGCTCAAGTCACTTTCTCGGTGACACCTCTCCCTGATTACTATTTATAATTCCACCTTTAATCTCATCAGGGCACTCTGCATCTCCCTTTCCTATCTTCTTTCTATATTACTCATCATCATGCAACATACTATATATTATATTCATTTATTTTTGCCTATCTCCCTCACTAAAAATTTCCAGGAAGGCAGAGATTTTGGTTAATTTTATTCACCTGCTATACTCTGCATGCCTAGAACAGTAGCAGGCATACAATAAACAAGCACTAGGTGAGTGTCTGTGGAATCAACTAATAAACTGCTCATTTTAAAGTATGAGGGGCAACAGAGAATTGATATTTAAATATATGGTATTCCAGCACTGCAATTTACTAGCTTAATGTCTCTGGGCTTCAGTTTCCTCATTTGTAAGTTGGAACTAATAATAACACCTACATCTTGTAAAGTTCCTATGCGGATTAAACAAGGTATGAACTATGCTTCAGATAACCCCTGACTCATGTTAATAAGGTATTAAGTGGTCATCTAGCATGAAGGATAACAATTTGCTGAAGAAGCCCATTTCTTGCTTATTAGAGTCAGCAAATAAAAATACAAATCGAATATACTGTCCTTTTTATATAAAATCTTTTATAATGTGTCTCTTTTAATTGTAGTCCATTACACTAATTTAGGGTACAGTAATTAGTTGGACAATCTGTAGTAAAATATGCTATCCCTGTAGGCAAAGTTCACCATTCATTAAGTCTTTAATGAGCACCTACTATATGTTGGGCACTATCTTAAGCACTAGGAAGATGATTGTGAACTGAAAAAAGTCCCTGCTATTCCTCAAGAAGCTTACATTCTAGAAGGAAGGTAAACATACAAGTAATTCAAATAAATAGGAAATGTGAAAAAGTCTTGGACATTAGGCCTCGTTCAGATGGAAATACTGTGTCTCTACCTAATCATCTGAGGTAACCCATTGGAGTCCAATATTATCATCATGACTTCAACCAACTCCAGGAAAAGCAGAGATTTCATTTGGTCATGAAGCACTTCACATGTTGGTATGTGTCCAATATATTATTATCTTAATGAAAGACAACATTCACTATGCTTTTAAATGTCAATATTTCAGAGTGGGTAGGAATTTTTTTAAAGTTAAGTGAAAAGAACCTAGTATTTGGAGTCTTATACATAATGTAACAGGAAAAAAATCAGAAGAAGTTGTATGAAATGTTAATATTCTCTGGTTGATGAATCATTTCCTTCCTCATATCTTCTGTGCTTTCCAGATTTTCTTTAATAAGCATTTTATTATTTATATTAGCATAACCTTTATTCTACCCACCACTAAAATTTCCCTGTTTTTTGGACCAAAGGAGAGGATATCCTAATACCAAAAGGAAACTGACTCCAAGAAGTATGGCCTGTTTCCTAAAGATTTAGCTGTAAGACAAGTTTTGTTTCCTTTCTTTATTATCAAAACAATACATTGTCACTGTGGAAAGTTCAGGAAAAAACAAGCAAAGATAAAGAGCTAAAATCATCCACAATTACACCATTCAGAGATAATCATTAACTATTTTCTCAATCTTTTTTTTTCTATGTATATAGTGAATTTCAATCTTTTAAAATACAGTTATACTTAAATTATTTTATTTAATATTGATATACTTTAAAAATAAGGCCATACTTTTTATTAATGATATAAATTGACTAGATGTATAATTTCATCATATTAACATTCTATAGTTTAAACATCTACTACTGTTGATGCTGGCTTTTGCCAATTTTTCAATATACAAACAATGCTGCAGTAAACATCTTTGAAGCTAAACCTTTGTCTGAATCCAGGATTACTTCCTTAAGATAAAGTCCTATAAGTTTATACCTTTAAAGCTTTTAAATACATATCATTTCAGTGGTGCCCAGGAAACACCCATGTGCACTTTCTTCAGAACTTTACAAGAACACCATCTACTCAGAGCATTTATTATTTCTAAAAATACACTTTCCAGTTTGATAAGTGAAAAATTATACATTGTTTTCATTTATATTTTTCATTTGCTCAATTCTTCTGTTCTTTGGTTCATTTTTTTCAAACTGTTCATATTTTGTTTTTTAAAAACTATATATTAACTATGGTAATCTTGTTTTACTATATCTTACAAATACTTCTCTTGGTGAATACTTTTCATTTCTAATTTTCTTAAGATATTTTGTAGTGTATAAACATTTTTATAGTGTATAAACATTTCATCTTTCTTAAATCAGTTCAATCAATCCTTTATGGTTTCTGCCTTTGATGGTCACCCTAATATAAAAAGAATCCACTCATCTTTTTTCCTGGTACTTTACTTTCTTTACATTAAATCTTTACCTAGAGCTTTTTTTTTAAAAGATTTATTTATTTATTTATTTATTTATACAAGAACCGGGGTACAGGCCAGATGTGTGGGAGGGTGAGAGGATTCACCAGAAACAGAGCGGGGAACAGAACAGGCAGACTGACGAAATACACTGCTGAGGGGAGCAGCGGGCGAGGCAGGAGAGGTCTGCTACGTCATGTGGGACCCCAGCCAGGATTGAATCAGTGCTGTAGAGGCTGCGGACAGCTTCACCGCACTGCGCTCAACTGCCTGCACCACCAGGGGAGGCCCTACCTAGAGCTTTCTTAATCTAAAGTATTAAGCAGAAACTGAACTTTTCAACCCAGGGCAGCTGGCTGAAAGAATGCTTCTTACCTGAGCATCATACTTCACAGCAGCTGAGAGCAGAGCAATGGCGTTCTCCTCACAGATTCCTTGCTTGATAGTTTGTTGGCAGAGCTTTTTCAAGCGATTTTCTCTATAAAATGTAGCCAAATCTAGTAATCCTGATGAAAAGAGATGCTTCTTAGGGGGAGTGATTTCAAGCATACTGATTTAGACTCAACCCTTCCAAGATGATGCTGACATTATTTTGAATATAATGCTTAGTGAAGGCCTGTAAATAAAGATGTGTTGAGTTTATTCTGAGTGTGTGGCTCAACCTGAGAATGTAGCTGAACTGATGTGTGATACACAAACAAGCAGCTGTAGAAAACATGAGCACAATGAAAATGGCTTTAGCGTTTTTCCAAGAAATGCTCCTCCCCCTGCATTATCAGCATCTCCTGGGTCATTTCCAACGGCATTCACATATGCTGTAATAGTACCTATCTTCTTGAAAAAGAAAAGAAACGCCTCTCATGGGTACATGTCTGCCTCCACTGATCCTACCCCACTTTCTCCTCATCTCTATTTGCTGCCTTCATTTTCCCACCCCCGACTCTTCACCTCAAGCCATTCATCAAAATCCCATCCCCTCCACTCCACTCCATGATATCACACCTGACACTAGTAATGCCAGTGTCAAATCCAAGGCATTTTTAAGTTTCATCTTACTTCACAAGAATTTGATGTGGTTGAGGGTGCTACCCATCCAAAAGCACTGTGTTACTTGTATTACATGCAGCCACTTCAAGACCACATCTTGGGTACCCAAGGCCCTGGGATTCCTTGCTTGATTAGCCCTGAGGCTGAGGCTGTGTGTGTGTGTGCATGTGTGTGTGCGTGTGTGTGTGTTTATTCCCCTCCACACCATATCACCAATATGCAGACCCCCAGGCCCAATGGGTGGCCTGATAGGGGGTGGGCAAGGCTTGGACATGCAGGTTGGGGTGCTCACATACCCCTACATGTGAAATGTAGCTGGTGGTGGGTAAAGAAAGATGGCAGCCCCCAGGTGTGAGGCGAGGGACCTGTCCTTCCAGAGCCACTGTGTTATAGCACAAAACTCCAAGGAGTCCCGGCCTTTCAGTTCTTAGGTTATATATTCAAGGCATAAAGTTTAAATAGGAAGTATTTTAGCTGATACGTAACTTTAAATTTTTGTTGGGTCCCCTTTGGAGTTTTCCCGAGGACCATGCAAATGTTACAGGCATTTAAAAAAACCCTGCCAAACAGGTGTCTAAGAAGCTGAAACTCCCTTGGCTTTTTCTGTTTTTTTATTTTTTGTTTTTTTTTTTCACATTTTAAAATGACATATTTATTAAGAAAAGGAAAAAAAAGAGGCACCTGCATAATTACAGCCTGGCAGGAGAGTGGCCTCTGAAAGGGATAAGTTTGTTAAAAGAGATACTTTGGTTTTTTAAACTCAAGAGCAAATGTGTTGCTCTCTATCTTCCTCACCTTTGTGAATGATACTTCCATTAACCAACTACTCAAGGCAAATACCTCAGAGCAGTCATACTTCTCCCTCTCACACTTGACATCTCACCCATTGGCAAATCCCATCAGCTCCATCTTTAAAATATATACAAATACATACAGAGTCTGATCTCTTTTCAACATTTCCACTGCTCCACCCTAATCCAGAGTACCATCAGTTCACATTTGAACCATTATAATTAGTGATCTTTTAAAAACAAATCACATCACTCTTGTGATAGAAGCTGCTAGCCACCTCTAGTGCACATGCATGCACACACACACAAACACACAAACACATACACCTTACTTTTTTTTCACTTTACTACTAAGAGTTAAAGCAAATTCTATATAATACAAGCTTTTTGCTAAAAACAAAACAAAACAAAAAAAAAACCTTCCAAGGTTTTCTATCACACCAAGACTAAAACTCAAGCTTTTCACCATGATCTCCAGAATTATGCAAGGTCTTGCCCAGATCTAACTGTCTGACCTCAATTCCTACCACTATCTGTCTGGCTCACTCTATGCAACCAGCCTGCCTTCTTCCTCTTTCTCAGCATGCTAACTCTCTTCCTGCTTCAGACTTTTGCACTTCCTGTTTCCCATGTTCAGAATGATCTTCCCCTGGGTATCTGGACCCCTTGCTCACTCACACTTCCCCAGGGTCTGCACTCCACAGCACTTCCTGACAGAGGTGTCTCTGGGCCCCCAACCCCCGAGTGACCCTGTGTACTTCTTTAGGGCCGGCGTCCCAGTCTTCACACAAGCCCCACAGAGGCAGGGTGGGGTCTGTCTACCTCAGGATGGGACGAGCAGTGGCACACAATGGGCATGAGCACCAACATGCTTGTAAAGGGATGGGAAACTATAAAATTTCATTAATCAGTCTTGAGTTTACCTGAGGAAAATTAAATGCAGATCTGGGAAAAACTGTCACTGGATTTATACACGTAAAACAAATGTTTAATTGGAAAGTTCGGAGGTTGAAGTCTTCCTATTATTCCATACAGAAGCAGTTCCTTAATTTTTCTGTACCATTGGCCAACAACACTGCTGACAGCTAGAAACTAAAATTCAGTATGTTTTTCACTCTGCACCCATTTGACGACCTCTGCTGCTTGTTGCTGTCAGTAAGCCTGGGGAGCAGAGAATGCTCATAACTACCTTTCAGGACAGGGTGCACTAAACAACCGTGGTTTGTGCAAAACTATCTGGGAGGGAAATTTGCGGTTACAGAGATCAGCAAGGTTTATTATTATGTGTATTTTATCTGTTTTATAATGCAAACAACTGCAGAGCAGCAGGTGTCTAGCTAGAAAGTCATGCACAGCTTCCATCCAGTCATTAAGGAAGAGTGACCCCCTCCACCCAGGTGGTGGCTTGGTATTTTATCAATCTCTTATTGTATCTATCCGATCTTTGCATGAAGTAGTAACAAGGAAAAGAGAATGGGTTCAACACACAGAAAGGGAATGGCTTTAGTTTAGGTTCTACAGAAACCACCTTGCCAGTGATCAGCATTTTGCCAATCTCTTGATAAAGTCTGGTGGCAATTACCTACTGCCTCCTCAGGAGGCAGGCTGATGCTGTCTGTGTACAGGTATTCCAGGAAGGCTCGGTAAACAGGATATGAAAATTCACTCATTTCTACAATATCATCTTCACTGTCTTCCAAAGAGGAACGAAAATGCTCACACCTGAAGGAAGAAAGAGGCAAGTCAGGTCCCAGCTTCCAGGCAAAAGCAGGCGGCCCTCAGAAGAGCGGCCCTCAGAAAACTATCAAGGAGAAAGAAAAACACTAGCAATGCATGACTTTCCCCCAAGCTGCATGCCATTGTATACTTACCTTGGTGCCCCTCATTTTACTATTTACATTTATCTGGCAAGGCTGCATATGCACACCTGCTACCACGGAGGCCTGGGAGCTGCCTCTGTGGCCATGTCCAACTTTCGGGCATGAGTCCCACACCCAAGTGTACTAAGCAGCATTTATAGAAAACAGGTGGGTTTGTTCTCATAAACTGGGAGTAATTTTGTTTCCCCATTCCGTACTCTGGGTTGAATTGTGTCCTCTCCAAATTCTTTGTTGGAGCCCTAACTTTAGAATGTAATAGTATTTGGAGACAGGATCTGTAGGAGGTAATCAGGTAAAATGAGTTCATTAAGGTGGGCCCTATTCCATGCAAGTGGTGTCCTTATAAAAGGGAAATTTGGACACAGACATGCACGCAGAGTGAACTCCACATGAAGACCAGCGTTACGCTGTCCTAAGCAAGGAATACCAGGGACAGCCAGCAAACCACAAGCAAGGAGGAAGGGTGTGTTCTCCTTCACAGCCCTGAGAAAGAGCTCAGCCCTGCCAAAACCTTCATCTTAAGCCTCTAACATTTTGAAAATAAATTCATTGAAGGCCCCAGTTTGCAGTAGTTTCTTATATCCCAGCAAACTTAGACACACACCTGCCCCTGCTAATGTGGCACAGCCTGACCTTACTAAGATAAGAACTTGAGACTAAAATGCCATGTTGAATGTTGGGATTCCTTGCGGAAAGATTTAAATATTCATTACACAAGAACCTATTGAATTTCAAAATCATTTACTAAAAGCAGCCAGGCACAGAGAATGCATAGTGTCTAATTCCACTTATACACATTCTTAGAAAATGCAGACTAACCTTTAGTGACAGAAAGGTCAGTCGTTGTCCCGGGACTGGGATGTAAGGGGACTTTCCAGGGCTGATAGAATTGTTCTGTATCTCAATTTGGGGAAGTAGCTTCACAGTTTCAAATGGACACTTGAAGGGGATGCAGTTCAATGCTCAATGTTTTACATCACTAAAACTGATTTTTCTAATCTTACGTCAGCTTCACATGCTTGCCAAATGTTAGCATGCTCTTCTCTAACACCGACATGGACAGCCCATTTACAAAGTGTCTAGGGAGGTCCATGCCCCCTTTTCCACATACTTTGCCCTTTGCACTTCTTCTATCTGGCTGTTCCTGAATTATATCCTTTTATAAAAGAACAGTTATCTTGTAAGTAAATGTTATCTCTGAGTTTGTAAGCCATTCTAGCAAATTAATCAAATGCCAAGGGGGAAGAAGTTACGCAAACCTCCAATTTAACCTGTGGAATCTGATGCTTCCTCCAGGTACGCAGTGTCTCAACTGGGTTAAATTACGGGGCACTAAGTTGGAGTCCAAAAATTGCTTACTGTATGTATGAGGAACCTCCTCCTCACACTGCAAAATTGGATCCCAAAACCTACTCATTTAAATGCTTAGAGTATTTATACCCTGAACAATACCCCCAGTTCTTACATGGGGTCTCTATTATTTCTTGTTTGGTATATGTGTTCCTCTGGTTGTAATGTATGACTGTGAAGGCAAAAAAAGTTGCACTTTTTTTCATCTTTACTGAAGTGCCCATCATAGTTCCTCCGGCCCTTAGAAAATAATAAATGCATTTATTTCACTTCTCAAAATAAATGGTTCCTTACCTAATTTTGAGAAGGACTTTATGTGCATAAATATACTTTCCGTCCACCAGAAATTTCAGGTCTGCGGTGTTAGGGTTGTCAAATTCCCTCTTCAGTGACTCAGCCACAGTGAGATGATCGTCAGGTTCTAAGAGAGTAACAACAATGTTTTCTAGAGTTAAGTACAGACATAATGAAAGTGCAGGCAAAAATATAGTGTTGCTCTGTTGATACTCATGAAAATTTTCCAAAATAAATGACCTACTGAACAATGCCTTATTCCCCCATAAATACAAATTTGCACCTGCAATCATTACAGATAAGAACCTCACACACATCTGATTGTAAATACGGCGGGGGGCGGAGGGGAAGTCACACCAAATGAAATTTTTGAATGCTTGAGTAAATATACTAGCTAAAGATAAAAAGGCAGTTTCTCAGTCAAATTAAAAAGCAGTCAAATGGAGTGTTGGTTTCTGAAACTGAAACTGTGCTGAACAAAGTCTTACTATCAAAAGAGAAGTGCCAGACTTGACTTCCTAGTGTTCAGGTCATTACCCCAGTGGTCAATAATGAGCTTACCCACAGACAGGAGGCGCCACGAGACGGCGGGGGTGGCAAAGCAGGCAAACACGTCATCGGTGCAGGAGAAGTGGGTGAGGTGCGGCAGGATCACCGACTGGCCCCGGCACTGGCCCCACATGTACACGTGCCCACCCTGGGTCTTGGCAGCAGAGGTGTGGGCAGAGTGGCAGGCTGCGATCTCTATAATCCTAAATTCACAAGCAAATAGCAAGTGAGTGTGGTAAAGATAATGAGTTCACTTTCCTTCCCTTTAGATTTACTTGATTTGAAAAACAGAAGACTTATACCTAAATCCTAAAATTTCAGGCCAAACAGTTATTTACACTTAAGGTATACTTCATTGGTACTTATCATTTATGTTACACTTCTAGCTTGTTTGGAAGTCCAACAACCCCACAGAGAACCCCTTTTAAAATGAGGATTTAATTCCTTTCCTTAAAACACTCCCCACTGAAATGGATAATGAAGACCCACGGTCAATAAGTATTTTCATCAAAATTTCACCAACTTTAGGGTTAAGTGGATCACCCCAACTCACACTTCAAAAAGTAAATTCAGTACTTTCGACTCACTCTACCATTGTGAGCATAAGATTTCTGGTACCACTCTCTGTTACAGCCAAGTGAAGTAAGTTCTTGATTGCTAGGGAGGTAGTTCTTAGAATATCTTCCAGTGGAAAATACTGTTTTTGTGGACTTGGAAATACTACTTTTCCCAAGAATAAATAACCATACAGATTTTAGAAAGACACTAAATTATTACATCCTAAGTGAGGTTGCCTCTTGATTCTGACACACCAGGGAATGGACCAGCATCCTCAGTGATTTAGGCTCAGAACACCAGTCACCTTTGACTTCTTCTTCACGTACTTCAGAATATCCAGTTGACAAATAAAGTATTTTTTGTAATTTCTCCCATCTGCCACACCAGAGTCAAGGACATTCCATCTCAGGATCAATGTAACAACCTCTGAGGTCTCCCTGACTTAGACTTTCTCTTCTGACCCAAATCACAACATGCTGACAGGTCAGTAATCCCTTTGAAACACTATCCTTATCAGTACTTTCAAATATTTAATAACTTCCCACAAGATAAAATTTGGGCACAGGATGTTAAAGCCTTTCATCATTTGGCTTCCACCTATGTCTAGCCCAACATTCTTTCAAATCACTTGCCCATACACACAAGTTCCAACAAAGAGATGTACTCACAGCCTTCCCTGTCTATGTTCACAATTAAAGTCCTTATTCAGGGATATTCTCTCTTCCTTAGAAATCCCTCCCATCTTTTAAGGTCCAGTTCCAAGAGCCCCAGGGTAAGAAATCTTCTGCTCATCTGAGCTCTTAGAGCACTTCTGTCCATACCATCAGGTCTGGTCCTGTTATCTTTTCAGGTGTATATGTCTTACCAATTCAGCTACATTATAAATTTCTGGTAGGCTGAACCACTGGTTTATTTCCTTCTCCATAAGTGCCAAATACAATGTCTTAATAAATACAATTTGTAGGTGATTTTATTGACTAATTAGGAGAGATTCAACAAGAATAAACTGAGGGTTGGGTAAGACTCCACAGGCCAGGGCTAGCAATTGAAGGGTGGAGATAATCCTCCACTGCCCACTTGATTAGATTTTCCTGTTAGGGAAGAAAATGGCCATCATGCAAACTGAAGATCTCTGTGGTAGCTTCCTCAGACAGCTGAGAAGCACTGTTTTTATGTGTGGCCCATGTCATTTCACTATTAGTAGACTACAGCTCACAGCTCTTGAAAACAACTCAAGAGTAGCAGAAAAGCAGCTCTGATGTCCCACGGGGGACATCCAAAGGCAGGGCTTTGGAAGTTCAACAGATCTAGTTTGTATCCTGGTTCTACCATGTAAGGGGCAGGAATGGCCACGGAGCAGGTTTTCTGATCCAGCAGACCGGGTAAAGGAGGAGTCAGAGTCCTCAGTGGCTTTTGCAGGTCTTTTATTTAGATTTACCAGGCATATGGCAGGCAGGGGTGCTGGGGGACCGTGGGGCTGGCAGTCCTCCCAGCCCCCAGCAAATCCTCACTCTATCTGGGCTCTCCGGCGCTCTGCTTCTCTGCTCCTTTCTCAGCTTCTCTGCTTCTTCTGGCGTCCCCGTGATGCCATCTTTAAAAGCCCAGTCTTAGCCCAGGTGAATCCCATCTACAGAGGCCCACACCCTACTCCAGGTGCCCGCCATCTGGCATGCATTCAGGACTGCAGGGTTCTGTCATCTATCCTGATGGCGGGAGGGCAGAAAAGCCTGACATTTTTCCTTACCCTACATACCACTATACTGTGTGACTATAGCAAAGTCCCTTAGCCTCTATGAGTCTTGTTCATCACATTTAAGGCCAGTGAGGATTAAATGATAAAATGTTAAGCACCAAGCCCAATGTCCAGTGTAAAACTGGTAGAATAATTAGCAGTTTCCTAATATTACTAACTCCATGACTCAGCATTTTCACCAACACAACTTCTCTTTGAGGAGGGAATTGATCATTCCCCCAATGATCAATTCAAACTAGTAAAACCATCCCTATTTGCATAGTTGAGTTGATTGGTCAATACTATCGCTCTCAGTAACAGTATTCTTTTCAATAAATAAAGGGGGAAAGGAAATAAACACACTGATTCAAAGAAAAAGTATATCTGATGTTACCATCCTATGTTACCATAGGAACCCTCCTATGTTATACTTAAATGTAAGGGTAGTGGTGCAATTAATTTTAGGGGGTTTGGTGTAGTAAGCAGGCATGAGCTGAGAGTCAGAGTAGCCTATAATGGCCAAGTTACTTAAATTCTTATAATTCATTTTATCATCTTAAAAAAAAAGGGCAGGGGAACAGAATGCAAATAAGGCAGCAGTGAGCTCACAAGTTGCAGTGAAGAGCAATGAAGTAAGTTACCTAGTACAGAGCACATTCAACAACAATTTTGTAGGGTCAGGAAGGACACAGTGCAGGTTTTCTGATCCCATGCAGGCCGGGTAAAGGAGGAATCAGAGTCCTTAGTGGCTTTTGCAGGTCTTTTATTGGGATTTACCCGGTACACAGCAGGCAAGGGTGCTGGGGGGCCGGGAGGCTGGCAGGCCTCCCAGCCCCCAGCAAGTCTTCACTCTATCTGGGCTCTCCGGCCTTCTCTTGGCTTCTGCTTCTCTAGCTTCTCTTCTCTCTTCTCTTTTGGCTTCTCCTGCTTCTTTCTCGGCTTCTGCTGGCGTCCCCGTGATGCCGCCCTTAAAAAGCACAGTCTTAGCCCAGGTTAATCCTATCTACATCTGCCCACACCCTACTCCAGGTGCCCGCCATCAGGCATGCATTCAGGACCTCAAGGATCCATCATCTATCCTGATGGCGGTAGGGCAGAAAAGCCTCACCTTTTCTTTACCCTACAGTCCACCCCCTCAAGGTTTTCTGCCATACAATCTACATATATATATATATATACAATTTTCTTATCAAACAAACAATGCAGCCATGGCCCACAAAAGCAAATACATCACAATATAACAAAATACAACAGAACACAAATAAGTCCAGGCAGGGCCCCAACCTAGTACAAAAGACAATTATTGGAACCAGCAGATGAGCCACCACATCTGCTGCCAAAGGCACTGCTCATACAAGGGAGGGGAACCACTCACAGCATCTACTGTAACACACCAGGAGCTGTCAGGCTTCCTGGCCTTCTCTGGCTGTAGTCTCGGCTACAAGCCACACACCGCATCCACCCCAGGATGCACTCACTCTGGGATCAGCGATCCTATTCTACTGTTGGGGGTAATCGCCAACCCTCAGGGTTTCTGTCTGCAGTCGCTCCAACACTCGGCCTTCATGGCCACCCATGCGACTCGCAGACCCCTGCACTCAGGCCAACCCACTGCACAAGCACATGGGTTGGGGATCCAAACTCTACATTTGACTTGGGCTCCACGCCAAGCCACGTTCCCCACCTGTCCCCCAAGGACGGGTTCCTCAGCTCCTCACCCTCACTCGACAACGGTCAGGGCATCACCCACAGGTGATTTTACGAGACTCACAGGGCTTCAGCATGCTCAGGCTGCTTAACAGCTGCTCAGGGCTTCCCAAACTTAGCATCAGCACCATCTTTTGCCTTCTCAGTTGGCTTTTCTCCTCCGCCTGGCTGCTGGGCATGCACAGGCTGCTTTTGGCCATCAAGGCCCTCTGGCCACCCCCAGATTCCCAAAAAAAAAACATCTTAGCAAGGTCCTCTGCCTTCTGGCGGGATTGTCAGTCCAAGTTCATCAGTCCATGTCCATCAGTCGAAGTCCGTTGGCCTCTCCCTGTATCAGCACTGGTGAGCTCCGAATCGTGGTTCTCTCTTCCGACGATTCTTGGTGCCTCAGGGGTCATTGGCTGGTCCTCTCGGGCGTCTCCTCCTCTTCCTCCGGGCGTGGTCTTATTCTGTAGCTCCCGGACAGTGTCCACCATCTGTGCCGCCATGGCATCTCCAGCGTCGTCACAGTCAAACACAGTCTGTTACTCCTTAGTCCCTCCAGGTCTTCAGAGGGCTCCATACCCATCTGCATGGATCATCTTGCCGACTTACGCCAATTGTAGGGTCAGGAATGGACACAGTGCAGGTTTTCTGATCCCATGCAGACCAAGTAAAGGAGGAATCAGAGTCCTTAGTGGCTTTTGCAGGTCTTTTATTGGGATTTACCCGGTACACAGCAGGCAAGGGTGCTGGGGGGCCGGGAGGCTGGCAGGCCTCCCAGCCCCCAGCAAGTCTTCACTCTATCTGGGCTCTCTGGCCTTCTCTTGGCTTCTGCTTCTCTAGCTTCTCTCTCAGCTTCTCTTTTGGCTTCTCCTGCTTCTTTCTTGGCTTCTGCTGGCGTCCCCATGACACCGCCCTTAAAAGCACAGTCTTAGCCCAGGTGAATCCCATCTACCTATGCCCACACCCTACTCCAGGTGCCCGCCATCAGGCATGCATTCAGGACCGCAAGGATCCATCATCTATCCTGCTGGCGGGAGGGCAGAAAAGCCTGACCTTTTCTTTACCCTACAAGTTTCTTCCCAGGACTAAGTGTTTTTAACAACAGCCACAGAAAATATGGGGTCTTCCCCGAGGAACTCATGATCCAGCTGAAGAGAGAAGTTGTATATCGTAAAAAGGCAACTAACTCCCAAGCTATATGACAGTGTGGCACCAACTACAGATCAGTAAGGGATATACTGGGGGATTCCTCAGGGAATATTTACAGAAAAAAGGGAATTTAGCTGGCTATGCTGACTTTGGACTTGTCAACAAAATACAATAAGGGCATATAAGCAAAGAGAAGTGCATGTAGGCACAGGGTGAAAACAGCAAGTCTGGAGAGAGTATAGTATGAAGACCTCACTGAAACAAACAGACGTGCAACCTGGAGAGCAGAGAGCAATGAGGCTTGCTGGGAACAGTGGTGTCAGTCTTAAATCCCAGGCTGAAGAGTTTAGATGTGATTTGATGTGAGAAAATGAGAAACAATTTGTAAACAGGGCCATGATGTGATAAAAATGGCATTCTGGAATAGATTCATCTCACAAAAGGGTGTAAGGTAGACTAAGACAGAGAGAAAGAACATTCTGGAATGTGAGCTGGGGAAGGCTGACAGGTGTGCAGAAGAGAAGTCTAAATATGCTGCCACAGAAGAGTCAGGGTGGCCTCGGATATCAATGCAGAGGAAGGAGAAGTGTCGAAGATGGCCCTAGAAGCACAAGTTGAAGAAAACATCCACAAGTGCAAAGGGAGGGAGGCACAGTGCTCGTCTGGGCGCAATATACTGATATCTCAGCAGTTAATCAAAGAAAAAGGCCACCTACATTTTAACCCTTTTAGGTACAAAGCAATCCAGGGCTCTCTGGAGAAAGGGGAGGTTAGAAAAACCCAAGCGTTTAGATGAATATCAATTAACTGTTCCTGTTCTTAGCATATCTAAGCACTTCCACGAGGACCTGCTAGGCCTGGACTTGGAGATTTTTCAAATAAGTGCTGTCGTTCACTTAAAATAATAGACAGCCACCTTTTCCCTGATAACTTTCTATGAAAAATGTAACTGATTAGAACACAACGGTGTTCTTCTATGCTAAATGACCCATCATCAGAAAATCAAAATACTTTAATTCTTACATTCACTCCTGAAATATTTATTATTAAATATTTCATGAAAAGGTGGCAGCCTTCACCATTACAGGGGTCAGGGACACAGTGTTCCCAGAGAATGGCTGGCACAGCTCTAGAGGCTGAGACTGTAGCCCTCCCGAAGCTTTGTGCCATTTTCCCAGGACACCCGGCAGCACTCGGGAAGTCAGGGGCAGGGCACAGGCGGGCAGCAGCTGCTACAGGAACAAGAGTGCAGAGTTTAGAGGGAGGCTTTCAGTCTTGACTTGGGCCCCAGGCACCCGCCTTTGCCTAAGGTCATTTGTTCTTTAGTCTGAGTCATACCAGAAAGCAATTTTGGAGATTTTACAGTCTTACATGCAACAGACGATGACTATAAACTGAGTTATACTGTCAAGGTGTCTGGAATATTCCAACTTTATTTTGTAGCCATGAAATAATAGCAATACCCAAATAAATGTTTTGTATCATCTCAATAGCATGAGCCACGGTTTCATAGATGTTAGCAATTGAAAAGGCAGAGAATGAGAAAGAATGTAACACAGAAAACAACGGGGAGAGAGAGAGAAAATGTACTTTGTGAAGAAGGAGGAGGGAGACAAAATAATGATAAAAAGATGCAGAATAGTGATTTACAATCCTGGTTTTATAAGAGACCAGCATAGTACCAATTGCTCAAGAAGTCCATAAAGTCAAGAAAATTCAAGGCAAGGTTAGTTTCAAGTCAATTTAACTTAAAATAGCTTTTACGGAACCTTAAATACAAAGACACAAATGAGGTTAAATCAAAGTCCTGAAACTTCAGAAAGATTATAAATGAATGAGTTACAGAGAAAAGAATCATTTTAATTATTAAAATTAATGTCAGCATGAGGTGCTAACAAATATTAGCAATCTTCACCAGTAATGAACCTCTCTGGGAAAAATGTCAAAGCTTTTTCTTGAGTTGTTATTTGAACTAATAACCAATGTAGAAAGGTTTTTAATCCACTTCTTGAAGAGGTAACTAAAACCTGAAGATCCACCCCACCCCAAATTCAATCCTGTTGTTTCTAATTAGTCAAGCTTCCCTGTCAAAAGTCAAGCTCTAATTAGTCAAGCTTCCCTTTTGGCCCCAGAAGAGTCAAAAGTTCCTGAAAAATAAGTCATAACACATCTGCAAAGCTTCAGTCACTGAAAAGGGTGGGTAGCCGCAGAACAAGCCCTAGCAGACTTACAAATTCCTCCCTTGTACTGTTCATGTGATCAAGGGCCTGCAAGCTCAGAAATTACCACGGGAAATTCAAGAGTGTAAAACTGAGAAAAACAGAAATATTGCATTGAGTCCTTTCCTCCATGGTATTTGTGGCCAAAATAATGTTCACAACACCAAATGTACAAGTGTCTACCTATTTCCTTTTATTTACATGTGTGATTAAACATTCTGTAAATGTTCACAAAATGTTTTTGAATTAAAAGTGATTTTTAAAAGATGAAAAAGCAGTAAATAACTCTAATACCAGGGAGGGAACTTACTTGGCACTCCCATAAAGTCCCGGTCCTGGGTCCCTGCCTCTTACTCTCTCTTACCAAGCTGCCCTACAACCGCCCATCCCTGTGTGACCAGTGTCAGACCTGGACCTCCTTCTGGGGCTCCGAGGGGCAAGCAGTGCATCAGAGGACACTACTGAGTGAGCCAGGGGCAGAGATTCTGTGAGCCCAGGGACAGAGGAGTTAATTTTTATGTTATGTGTGGAAGCACATTAAAAACTGTAAAGTGTCAAACATGTTTTTATTTCCATGTAACCTTTAGTTGATCCTTTAACATTTCTTTTTTGTGACTACCCAAAGCTCAAGACTGTCCTTTTGCTTTTTACTAAGTGGCTTTGAACTAACTTTGAAAGAAATGCAACAACAGGACTGATGCTCCAAGTGCATGGTGCGTGCTTCATGACCTCCACTGTCCGTCCTCCCCAATTCTTATGGGGTCCTGGATTATCTAAGATCTTTGGAAGACAAAAACAGGGATTTATAGACCTATTTACATATATTAAGTAAAAGTGACCAGATCAACAATACTCAAATAAAAATCTAGGGGGTTGAATGTGAAAATCTGGTCCTTACTTTCACTGTTAAGTATTCTAATAGAAAAATATAAAAGAATTTCATACAAATACAAGATAATCTACCAATATATTTATTTTTTCAATCATATATAACACAAATTAATATGTAAGATAAAAATTAAAATAGCAGTATTATTTCCACAATAATTACAACTCTGGTTGAAGAGATAACAAAGTGCTTTCACCCCACATTACTGTGTCAAGAAATGAAAAGTGAAAAGGCAGTGACATGGCCATGACTGAGAAATCCAAATGGCCCTCAAAATATTAAGATGATTTGAAGACAATTCTGGATATGTTAATAACTTAGCACAATCTTTCAAACAAGTACAGTAAGTATTCACTGTCTAGCCATTTTTCTCTCCCCCATAGAAGTAGCTTAGGAGTTGAAGTATGGAAACAATTCAGCCCTTTTTAACCTCAAATGCAGTTGCTGAGAGAACAACTTTATCACCCATCCCAGGTACTTTCATTTTCCTAAACCACAAATGCTAGATCTCAAATGTTATAAACGTTCTCTTAAGAAGGAGGGGTAAATATCTAGGGGGCCCAATGGACTACAGCAGAGGATTAGGGTGGCTTTGGCAATGGGGGTCGTGTGGCACCTTATATCTGAAGATGAACTATACCTCTGAATCATATACAGTGTTATAAACAAATGTCACGTCAGTAAGAAATACTACTATAAAAGAAAGACAGAATGAAAAGGTAATCTACAAGGGGAAAAATAATGTAGAATAGTTGTTGGAGGTTTAGTCATTGTATTTTGTGTAGTTGTTGGAGGTATAGATGAAATACGAGTAAGTGAAAGTCAAGTAGTTAACACACAGTCAATCTCTCCAACAATTCAAAAATCAATTTTAAAAAGTAATGGATGTTCTTGCTAAAGAAAATTCTACTATTAACAATAAATTTCCCACAATTCTATATCATGCCCGTTTGTTTAATCACCAAAGTTATTTTAAAGCACATATTACCTGTCCTTTTCCACAACAACAGGAGTAGGATAGGACTGGTTACTTTTATTGCCAGTGCCCAGCTGGCCATAAGAATTTGCACCCCACGCATACACTTGGCCTTCATCTGTTAATACTAATGTGTGTGCATAGCCACAGGCAACCTGGAAAGAGAAACACCAAATGCATTTAGGTTTGCAAATAGAAGGAAGTATGCTTTTAACTAGAGAGGTTAAGTATCAAAAGTGGAAAAAAAAAGGAAGAGGTGGCCTGCACCGGGATGAAAGCACTAAGTTAGCCCAGAGCTAGAACTAGTTTAGGCCCCAATGTGTGGTAAAAATTGCAGTGAGATCAACATCAGTTCTTCTGCAGCATGAATCAGTTTAGTCAGCTTCTAAGGTGGCATTTATTAGGCTCACCGAGATAGGGCTTCAAGTGAATAGAAAATACATGTCTTTATTTTTTAATAATTACTTTCACTTTTATTATAAAAGTAAAACATGTTCAATGTGAAAAATTGGTTAAAATGTGGAAGTAACTCAAAACCAGGGTTTTCATTCTATTTATATACAGATATAGAGATATGCACTGATAGCTATTAAAACATTTTATAAGCAGCTCTGTATCTTTCTTTTTAACATTACATGTGGCATACTCACATCATTAAAAATCCTTTGTAAACAATTTCCATCATAAAGATTTAGTGTAATTTATTTAAAAATTAGCTTATTGTTTGCTTATGTAAATTATGCTAATAGTGCTATTATTTAAGCTTTCAATTTCTTTCTCCACTAATTCTACAAATTCTCTTTAGCTCCTTAGGATAATTGCCCAGAAGTAAAATTGAAGATTCAAGTATATGAATGAATATCTTTAAGTTTCTTGAATATACACTACCGTAAAGTATCCTTGGGAAAGACTAACAATTTACATCCTGACAGCTATGCATGAGAGTGCCCAAGAAAATACATATTTTCTGATAAACATCTACAACTTAATTCAGAGAAATAGAGTTTTAACCTTTACTTTAGACGATACCCCAGAGGTAAAGTTTCATCCTGCTAAGAAAACTGTTTTTAATACCTTGGTATCTTTGTCACTCAAGACTCAAAAACAGGAACTCACAAATCAAGAGTGGACATACCAGGGCCTCCCCGGTGGCGCAGTGGTTGAGCGCTGGGTTGCGAGGCTGCCCGCAGCCTCTGCAGCACGGTTTGATCCCCGACCACTGGGTGAGGGTCCCATATGACACGCAGACCTCTCCTGCCGCCTGCTGCTCCCCTCAGTAGTGTGTTTTGTCATGTGCCTGTTCTGCTCCCCACTCTGACTCTGGTGAATTCTCTCACCCTCCCGTGCTTCTGGCTGTACCCAGTGCTTGTATAAATAAATAAATCTTTAAAAAAAAAAAAAGAGTGGACATACCCGTTGGACACGAATGCCTTGCAAAGCTGCTATTCGACAGGGGGTTGGCTGGTTGCCACTACTGCCAAGTCCGAGTTGCCCATTTCCATTGTAACCCCAGACAAAGACCTGAGAAAAAATGAGACTTCAATGCCCATGAAAGATGAAAAGCCTTCAAGTCCTCTGTTGTGAGAGATATGCCATGTTGGTATGACACTGATAAGGCAAACAGTTTTTTTTAAACATCATATATGAAATAATTTTCTTACCTCCCCAGAATCCACCACCGCCATCGAGCACATCTGCCCACAAGCTATGTTCACAACTACTTTATTCTGTAAGCAACCAGTGACTCTTCGAGGAATTGGCTGATTAGCTGTCGATCCAGATCCTACTTGTCCTGAGTTATTATAACCCCAGGCAAATACCTATTTGCAAGAAGAAATCAATAAATGAAATATACTAATTTATAAAGCATCTCAGTTGGACACTAAAGTGTACTTAGGGTGCCTCACCTTTGCTCTCAGGAGTGCTAGAGATCCATAAATTCTCACAACATGAGCAGAGAAGTTTTTGAAAATTCATACTTATAAACGGTATTACTTTATACAAGTAGGTATTGGTGTTACCTACACAAATAGTAACAACTATGCAACAGCATATAACACGTATAAAACTATGTACTTTGCCTCAATCATATTTTCTACCTTGTTGGGAGTTTTCTTTTTGCAAAAAACTCCCTTCTGTATAGCAGTCTAAAAGGCAAAGCACACTCTTTAAAATTTTGAGATTACAGACATTCTTACCACAAAAAGGCAAAACTAAATCTCATAATACAAACACCTTGTCCAGGGATTATGAACAAGGGTAATACTGAATTTTAGCAGGTGATTATTTTAATCAAATGATCATATTTTCAGGACTGTTATAGGCATCTCTATAATCTTATTGAAGAAAATCACATCGAATGTTTACGCTGACTATTCTCACCTCTCCATCAGATGTCAGCACCAGAGAATGGTAAGACCCACAGGCAACTTCAATGACTCGTTTGTTTGACAAATTAGTAGAGATATGAACGGGCACTAAGCCATGGTTAGTTGTCCCATTGCCCAGCTGGCTGTAAGCATTATGGCCCCAGGTGAAGACTTGTCCTTCTGGAAATAAAGAGAAACATAAGCACCTTTCAAGACAGCTACCTTATATGACAATGCATACTCTACACTTCCCAGATAAAAGCTAAAAATTCAGGTGCAAAACCAATAAACTAGTACATCAAACTCATTCTCTAAAAGAATACATCTGGAAAGTATAAACTACATTTTATGTCAAAGCAACAGGATGGCATTTTGATGGACATAATTATAATAGCTGGAAGACAGGTTTTTAATAAACAGCAGAGAAAAGACCTCCAGGAATAACAATAAAACACTAACTAAATTGTAAGGTAAGTTAACTTCTCTGGGTTTAATTTCCTTATCTATAAAATGATCATCAAGTTAATTTTTGAAGTCCTTGTTATTGTATTATTTACTGTGCAGTGTAATACACATTCAGAAAAGTTTATAAAATATGTATGTGCAGTTTTACAAATAAAGCACACACCCATGTACTACCACTCATGTCAAAAAATTTAACCTCATGATCACCCCAAAAAGACCCCACATATACGTCTTCACTAACAGAATTTAGTTTACCTTGTTTTTGAACTTTAAATTAATAGAACTATATAGCATATATTTAATTCATCTGTATTTTCAACGGTATCATCTTTTTTTTTAATGGCAATGCCTCAGGGCATTTATTTATTTGTTTGTTTGTTTATTTTATATATTTTTTACATCATTTTTCATTTTTGTGCAATGTACACATTTTCATCTTGGTTATCATCCCCATAAAATTCCCACTGCCCTTGTTTTGATCCTACTCCTTTCTCACCTCCTGTAGTGTGTCTCTGGTTTATAGTTGCCTAAAAATATGGAATGCTTCACAAATTTGCATGTCATCCTTGCACAGGAGCCATGCTAACCTTCTCTGTATCATTCCAATTTTAATATATGTGCTGCCGAAGCAAACACTCAATTGTATCGTCTTGATGCTACTATTGTCCAGATAATTTCTTCTGATTTATCTTCCAGTTTACTAATTTTCTCTTTGGCCATACCCAAACTGCTGCAAAAATTGCCAGTGAGTTTTTCATTTTGATAATGATTATTTATCTGGTTCTTTCCCAAATCTGCTATGATCTCTGCAGGTATGGGCAAGCTCATTTTTCCATTTCTTCAAACCCAGTAAGTAGAGCGCTCTAATATCTGATATTGAGCACTCAGTTTTTTTGGTCTTTCTTGCTGGTTCTCATTCATGGGCCTTGTTTCCTTGTGTATCTTGTTATCTTTAGCTATGTGTTGCTAACTCCATTGAAAAATTGGCCTAGAATGTTGGTGCCATCCTCTCAGAAGGATTTATATTGATCTCTATCATGACGTTAAGGCACTTAAAGGCACTTCTTTAATAAATTCAAGGCTTTATATTTCTTTGACCACCTGATCTGATGTGAATTAAAATATTAAATCCATGATTAAAATCTCTCAGAGAAGAGGTTTTGTTTCTTTTCATTTTATCTCTTTGCTTTTCTCAACACCAGAAATTCTTCAGTTTATCTCTTAGCAACAGCAGAACTGAATCACACTTGCTCTTTGTTGTCTCAGTCCCACAGCTCATTTTAAGTGGGCAGGAAGAAGTCTTTAAGATAAAATTAGCCTCAAGTTCCCCTCTAACCTTTTAGTTCACACTTTTCTTAAATATGGTCTGTTAATTCCATTCTGCCTTATCTGTGCTTTGAGGCTTTTATGAGAAGATGTTAAATATTTTATGTAGAATTTTTAGTTTTTTCAGTGAAAATGCTATCTGACTAATTTAATCCCACTATGGGCAACCAAAAATGACCTAAAACGTGTTTTTTTTTAATGTGAAATAAATATACAAAATATACAGAAGAACACTTATAAAATTCATTTTCATTTAAATTATACTAATGAAACTGAATATTCAGCTTAAGAAAAACTCTGAGGTATATATTAATTATGCCATTACTAATGTGAATTCATCAAATAGTCATGAGAACATCTGATTCTTCATACACATACCAGCTACTGCCACCAGTCACTATTTAGCATCACAGCATGCTAAGAGAGGGAATCATGGAATCTCTTTGGATTCCAGTTCACACATCAGGAATCTCAAGTTCAAGAAGACCAGAGTGAGTGCAAAATAATTACACTTACAATAAAGTATAAACAAAAGTGTCTTACTGTGTTCAAATCATTTCCATTCATACATCTAAAGTGCTGATCACTGGTAGATTCCATCTGCTACATTATCTTACTCTAATATGAAGATATGGACACATTTCATATTGTTTAAAGCACTGTCAAATTCATAGGGCAGAGCCAGAAACTCTTGCCCACCCAAAATGTTGTTCTTAATTTAAGGGGTAATTCTAGTCTTGTTTCCCAACAAATAAAGCAGAGGTGAAAATTCTACCTTATGTTACTAAGTTACCTGTTGTTGCAAGGACAACATGTGGACCACTCCCATAGCTGAGGCAAGATATCTTTTTGCCACTTAAGCAATCCAGTCTCCGTGGTTCAATGGTGCTCTGTACGTCACCTAATCCCAAACACCCACAGGAGTTTGTGCCAAGCACAAAAATCTGTGGGAGAAAATACTTTTAGTTCAAGCAATTTTATTTCTGACAAACCTGTAATTACATTCAAATAGGCAAAGTCCTCTTAAAGCAAAACTGCTTCTTTAGTAATAAATAGGAATCTACCCATTCCTGCTTTTTTTTTAACCTCATCTTCTGAGTTCCCCCAATATCTTTAGTATGGCAAATCCATTACAGAAAACATAAGTGAATTGAATTTTTTCTTCAAAATTACCTCATCGTTTGTTGTAGTATATAAAACTTCATTGCCAGCACTGCCAAAGACACAGGCCTGACGAATTAACTGCAGTTCTTCCCCAGAACAAAGGGAGAAAATTGGCCACTTTCCCACATCTAACATCTTCAAAGATGACAGAGTAGCCTGCACCGGCTGAAAAAGGGGAAAAAAAAAAAAAAATATATATATATATATGCACACACAAAGTACATATATTTGTGTGTATATACACACACATACAGAAACAATTATGTGTACTTATACGCACATATATATACACAGAGTTTATTATTAAAAGTAGATTTTCTTAGCCCCTTTTACTTATGTAGAAGAGTTAACACAGGTCTGAGGAACAAGCTGTATCTATTTTTAAGGGACCTCCCACGAGCTCAGCTGCTTTAGTACTGCTCCCACAGCAATCAAGAGCAAAAGGCTCTGGATGGAATAAGATCTCACATATTCATTTTCCTCAAAGACATAGGAATCATCCACAGCTGAACTTTGGGGAGCTGAATATCTAGCGGATACTTCTGAGTGCTGGCCATATTTTAAATGTAGCTCTAAAAATGGCTGATTGTAAAGGCAGGGAAAAATGAGAAATGCTTAGTTCATCTGCTGCCTAAGTCTTAATAAAAGAAGTCACTGAAAAGAACACTACTGAAGGTGACACCAAAGAAACATACCACAAGTTGCAATTCATGGGTCAGTTCTGACCTTCAGTTGGCGGGTTCCCTCACTGCTCCTCTCCCCCGGGTTTGGGGATTGGCAGGAAGAAATGCCAACAAAGTATGTGTACTTGTCTGCTAGTACTACCATAACAAAGTGCCATAAGCTAACAGGTTCAACAACAAAAACTAATTTTCTCACAGTTGCGAGGCTAGAATTTCAAAATTAAGCATTCAATGTAGAAAGTATAAGCTGTTTTAAAGACAGATTTTATGTATTTGATAAACTGGAAATATTTTTACTTATTGTACTTTTCAACTTTGAAGAATTTTGAAGATTACAGAATACATAAGGCAAAATGCTTAGCAAATTGCATGTCTGGCCATTTCCCTCAATAATCACCATAGTTTTGCTTGACTTAAAGGCACAAAGGATTTTCTAAGACCTGTCATTCCCATCAGTTACTAATTCAACCTTACCAGGAATGGGTTCTGGTAAAGGGTTAAATAAACCAGCTACTCATTTTCTACAGACCTTAAAGGATATTTATCCTTTCTACCTTAGGAATTGTATATGTATTTACATATATTTATTATATGAGAATATTTATTTATTCATTCATTCATTCATTCATTCATTCATTCATTCATTATGAGGAACTGGCTCACACAATTATTATTTACAGGGACTATTTATTTCTTATAAATTGGGGGGGAAAAAGTCCCACAATCTGCCATCTAAAGCAGGAGACCCAGAAAAGCTGGTGGCACAATTCAAAACAATTCCCAAAGCCTGAAAACCATAGGAGGCGATGATATAAATCCCAGTCTAAGGGCAGAAGATGAGAATAGTGCCCCTGGTCAATCAACCAATGTCTACTTCTTCCAACTCTCATTCTATTCAGGCCCTTAACAGATTAGATGATGCCCAGTGATGCAGCTACAAGGCACACCAGGAGTTGCTGGGGGCTACTAGGAGCTGGAAGGAGACAAGGAAGGATGCTTCCCTTGAGCATTCAGAGACCAGAGCCCTGTTAACACCCTGATTTCAGACCTCTAGGCCTCAAAACTCCAAGAGAATAAATTTCTGTTGTTTTAATCTTCCCTGTTTGTGGTACTTCATTAGCACAGCAAGTAGCCTCTGTTAACAGCATCCTCCTCAGTTAGTGGCAAAGCCTGAACCAGGGCAAGCTCCCCCCATGCCCAATCCATCCACATTACCTCACCACACAACTGGAACTGTAAGACCCTGTCCTGTTGTCTTTTGGGCAGTGCTCCAGGCCATTATGTAACAGGACAAATCCTCAGTGTGTTAGCATTAGTCTAAGCCTCTATTTTAAATCACCCACCTCCTTATATCAGAAAGCAGTCTTGTTTTCTTTGAGGTCTTCATTTTAATTTATTTTTCTATTTAATCCTATACATTTCAAAAAGAACAATATTTGGGTTTGGCATCAAATATTTAATGTAAATATGCAAATGAGCTAGTCAAAAGTATTATTATTTCTAAGCCTCACAATTGTAGGACACAGATATTGCTATACTCATTTTACATTTAAGGAAAAAACTGAGGCACACAAAGTAATCCTCCAAGATCACTAGTAGGTAAGACCAGATTTCTTCCCATACACCATTTGTGGCTGAACAAAATGTTCCCATACAAAGTTATACTACTGGAAGACCTAGTTTATGCTTGCATTTGCACAGCTTTGGCTACATTATTCTCTTAAGAGTTTCCAATAGGGGGCCTCCCCGGTGGCGCAGCGGTTGAGCGCTGGGTTGCGAAGCTGCGCGCGGCCTCTGCGGCCCGGTTCGATCCCCGGCTGCTCCCCGGCCACCAGAGGAGGGTCCCACATGGCGCGCAGACCTCTCCTGCCGCCCGCTGCTCCCCCCAGCAGTGTACTTCGGTCCTTCTGCCTGCTCTGCTCCCCGCTCTGGCTCTGGTGAATTCCCCGCTCTGGCTCTGGTGAATTCTCTCGCCCATCCGCGCTTCTGACTGTACCCAGTGCTTGTATAAACAAAACAAACAAACAAACCAGCAAACAAATAAATAAAGCATGCCTCTATAAAAAAAAAAAAAAAAAAAGAGTTTCCAATAAACAAGGCAGCAGTGCCCACTGTGGGCAGTCTTCCACAAACAAGGCAGATGGCAACATACAATGAAAAAAGCAGCAATACTTCCATGAATAGTTGCTATCTCATTTTTTTTCCATTCAAGCAGATTTTTGGATTTACTCCTACCCTGCTACAAAATCAAGTGGTTTCTTAGATGCCTAGTTCAGACTGCATCTCTAACCAGCTCCTAAACACTTGTTTATAAATCATTAATTCTAAACATTCTTCCTGGACCACCTGCACCATAACCACAGGGAATGCAGTGTGTGTGTGTGATGTCACTTGCAGTCATACATTTGTTCAAAGATACTACTAGTCTAGAGAATGTTGAATCTGACAGTATCACTGAACAGTCATTGAGTGTCAGATACTAAAGCTATAGAAATGAAACAGTCACTTCCCATAAGGAGCGCAAAATTCAATTTAAAAAAAGACCCAAATAATTACAAGATAATGTTAAGTACAAAAGAGGTATAAATACAGTTGCTTTTTAAATGTGTCAGAAGGCTCCATGCTGGAGGTTATTCATCAAAATTTCATTTTTCTAAGTCATGGGGCAACCATTCTAACAAACTAATGGTTTAATTTCTAAAATGCATATGCTTATACTTTTTTGAAGTTCATATTTAATAACAGCATCAAATTACAGCATATTTGATTACAAAAAAAAAATTCTGTCCAGCATACTCATGAGCATATGTAGTTATACACATTTTATATACATATACATTTGTACAAATATAAAGTAAACATGTTAAACCTTGCATATATACATATATAATAATGAGTGTATACAGCATAAGGATTCACACCCAATATCCTGTCTGGACCTCAATTACACCACAGCCACTCCACGAGATAGCAGATGTCTCTGCAGAAGACACCCAACTGCCTCTATGGCCAGCTGTTAAATTAGGGACTTGGCTAAGCAAAGGTCAAAAGTGGGCTATAGAAAAATCTATCTGAAGAAAAAGTGCTGCGCCAGAATGAGAACTTGGCAATATACATCCCCAAAAATAGTGTTCCTAGAATTCACAGTACTAGAAGGTCACCCTTCTTCCTGTACATAACACCACCAAATGTGGTAATACCCAGTTCAGCTACTTAACTACTTTGCTCACATCCAGTCCACTTCCCCCAGTCTTTCATTTAGGAAATGCAAAACAGTGAAATTTTAATATAAGCTCAAAGAAAACACAATTAAGGAAATATGTCTCTATAATATTAGTGCCCCAAATGCATCTTATTAATCTTTTGAGTCCATGCTATCTTTATAACTCAGCTTCTCTACCATTATGAATTGAGTGATACTTCACCTAACTACCTAAAACTACTAAGTTGTCACATTTGATTTTAAATACATCATATAGAAATAGAATTTATAATACATGTTAGGCATACCTAGCAAAAAAACCTCTTTTTAACCGTACCAATACCCCTATTTTGAGGATTTGCTGGCAGCTTAACACTTTCTATGTAATAAAACAATTTCATTGCTAGTTCTATGTCCATTCTTTTATAAAATCTATTCCCAGGGTAAACTAGGAATTTTTCTATCAATATTCTGTATGACCCTCAAATTCTATATATTACTTTTGGAAGCTGCTGTGGGGCTTACCAACAAGGACTCACAAACACTTGAAGTCAGCACATGGTAATACTACAGTCCAGTTTCAGAAACTTTGCTATCTCTGTAAACTATGCTGACTGTATATAATTATTTACTATTTTATTGAATTTTGAGGATATTTTATTTAAAAAGAGTGGAAAACCAATCCCCGGCTGCTCCCCGGCCACCAGAGGAGGGTCCCACATGGCGCGCAGACCTCTCCTGCCGCCCGCTGCTCCCCTCAGCAGTGTACTTCGGTCCTTCTGCCTGCTCTGCTCCCCGCTCTGGCTCTGGTGAATTCTCTCGCCCTCCCGCGCTTCTGACTGTACCCAGTGCATGTATAAACAAAACAAAACAAAAGAAACCAGCAAACAAATAAATAAAGCATGCCTCTATTAAAAAAAAAAAAAAAAAAAAAAAAAAAAAAAAAAGAGTGGAAAACCAAAAAATGAAAGTTAATAATGGCAGATAATATTAAGCTGTTGACAGTACAGAACAGATATTTTTGTAAATTTAATAAAATCACACATGATGGAAATCACAATGTATGCTGAAAGGTGTGAAACTTTTAACATCAGTTGGACACTGATTGAACATAGGCCGGTGAACTGTAATGTTCAAATGTAATGAAAAAGAAATAAAAAATACCTTCGATGAATTTATAAAATTCATCACCAATAAGAGCATGGCATCTAAGATTAAGTATTTTTATAGTTACTTTAAATCTCTAGGAATGGAATAAATAAACATCCTTCAATTCAGACCCTCTTATAGGACAATATTATCCATGAAAGAAGGGGGTAGACGGTACTCCTCGTCCAGCTCAAATGTCACTGTCTCAAACATACATATTATCTTTCTGATCTTATCAGATGACCAACAGGTATTTGATGAGGTGTATTTCATGCAACAGAAAATACATGCTCTAAGGGCATAAGTTTGTCTAACCTTGCCACTTTCTCCATAGAAACGGGGTAGTTCTTCTTCCATATGGACTCAGTCCTCGCAGTCCCTGAGGAAAAAGTATGTGGTGAAATCAGGATCCCAAATGTCAAATGAAACTAGGTAGGTTTAACTTATTTTACTTCTAATTAACAGGGAAAAAAAAGGTAAGCTCAAATATGGTAATGGGAAAAACAGGAGATTAAGTGATGGGCAGAGGAGCTAAGAGCTATAAAAGCCAAAAAGTGTTTCAACTGCTCTGCAACTACCACATGCGCTCTTTATAGGAACTGTCTTGCTGACTGAAAATGTAATCCCAGGATAAATGTAGATTCTTTAAATCTATAAAGAAACAAATACAAAATTTTCAATTCAGAGTTGACTTCCTATAGACAAGGGAAAATAATGTTTAGACCGTGGTCAATTTTACTCTGGGATTGGAAAGTTCCAAATCACTTTGAAAAGCAGATTTATTGTCAATTCCACTGAAGGAAAAGTACAGAATGATTTGCTAAACTGAGGATGGTGGGGCAGGGGAAGGAAGAACTAATGAAAAAGATGAAACAATGAGAATGAATGAATGTGGTTTTGTTATCATTCATCAAGTGTGTAGCAACAACACTGAATGTTCTTAACCACCTCCCACAACTACTTTCCACAAAGTCAAAGAAACAGCAGAAGAAGCCCTATCAGAAGATATGCAACATGGCTGGACTATGGCTTTGTTGTTGCACAATTAGCTATCTCATAACCATAATGAAATATAAATAAATATTCTCTCCCCACCAAAAACATTTTAACAAAACTGCATTTTTATTATGCTGATTTTTTCTGATTTATTAGGCTGGGTATAACTTACTTAAATACAATCGGTATTTTAAGTGCTAACTTCAGAATATTTTATCTGACTCTCTACAAGTACATTCTTATAACAGACCAATAAAAACAATAATTAAAATAAGGCCAATTCTTAACAATAATCCTTATCAATTATTATATGCTCTTGAGGACACTGGCAAAAAAAAATACCTTTTCTCAGAATATAAGGAATAATAATATATTCAGAATAGGGCCTCCCTGGTGGCGCAAGGGTTAAGACGCAGCCTGAGAAGTCGCCTGCAGCCTCTACAGCCTCTGCAGCCTCTGCAGCCTCTGCAATGTGAGTTCAATCCCCGGCTGGCCAAGGAGCAACCCACCGGGCACAGCATGATAGGTTGGGGCTAGGGTCCCTCCCCCTCTATATTTCCACAGCATTTTTTTTTTATTTCAATCATGGCACTTTTCATTTTCTGCCTCATGTGCCTCATATTCCTCTATGATCTATTTTCTCTACTAATTTGCAAACTCTCAGAGAGGAGACTATGACTCATTCTAACTACCACAGCACATAGCTCAGAGTAGAACAATATATTCATTGAAAGCACCCTTTGTATAGTGGAGACTGCCTATATTTAGAACCCTTCTCTTTTTTTTTGCTTCACCCTAACTAGAAATACCTTTTTCATGTCTGCCCCAAGTTTACTGGAATAAAAAATAAAGAGAAGAACTAGAAGAGAAGAGAAAGGAAAAGAATAGAAGACAGAAATTGAAATGCAAAAAAAAGGAAATAAACAAGAGAAAGAAGAGAGAGATGTAGGACTGTCCCTCATTCTAATTTAGACCAGCTTTGTTCCTAATAGAAGGAAAATCTTGCTAATATGATACAATCATGGGTTCTTAAAGAGGAAAAAATAGCTCTTTTCAGTGGTTTAGTGGTTTCTGACCAATTTCAAGTATAGTAATTCTTTAAATTAGAATGATGGAAAACAGGTCATTCTGTTTATTTGACTATTCAGGTTAAGACATAATTGTACATATGGCATAAGGAAACTATGATACTCAAAGAAATAATAGAAAGATTCAATTAATACTATATATAAGATTAATTAATTTCACTTTTGTTGGTCAGAATGTCCTTCAAGACTTAAAAATTATCCCAGATTAATACTATTACACAGCACTGTAAATAAAATGGTCAAATTCTCTGGCATTGTAGAAAATGATTTTTTTAACATACTTTCAATGAGATACATAAATAATAGAGAAAGCAATCTTCCCCAATTTGTGCTACTTGAAGAATATAGTTTGTGAAATAGATGTAGGGATTATAGCTATTTTATTACTTCACCAGGCTATTATTAATGTCAATATTTAGGATATCAATATAAACTTTTTAAAAATCCACAATATACGTACATAATACTCCATTTGTGATATGATAAACCTGAATCTAAATAGCAGCAACAATAAAAAATACTTACTCTGTCCTATGAACTAAGTGTTTTTGCATTATCTCATTTAATCTTTAAAACAGCATCCAAATGAAACAGATATAATTACTACCCTCTATTTTAGGGACATGTTTTAATAACGTGATCAACAGTCTCCAGTCAATCAGGGTCAGAGTCAGTATATTTGAACCCAACACTGATTCCAAAGTTCTTGTTCTTAGATCCTTCCCAGTACTACAGAGGTTTTTAAATTTTCCTGTGTACATTCCAAAGAGTTTTATTTTATATTGAGTAATCAGGAATGTTCCCTCTAAAAATAGTTGTACCTGATTGTTTTAAATTCCTGGAGCCCAATATTCAATCATCTTCAATTCTGTTCTTTCTATCCTTATGAAGTTTCTTCCAGTGTAAGGTTAATATGACTGAAATGTAAACACATAAATAAATTCTATTAGGGAAAAACAGGAGGAAAAGAATATACCATCTTGCAACTTTAACAATTATCTGAGAAAAATAATTTATTTGTTTTCTAAAGATTTATTTATTTATGCATACAAGAACTGGGGTACTAGGCCAGAGGTGTGGGAGGTGAAAAGATTCACCAGAGACAGAGCGGGTAACAGAACAGGCAGATTGACTGAAATACCCTGCTGAGGGGAGCAGCGGGTGAGTCAGGAAATATCTGCTCGCCATGTGGGTTGCTACCTGGCCAGGGATCGAACTCGTGCTGCAGTAGCTGCGAATAGCTTCATAAGTTGCATCTTAACCCCTTGCGCCACCAGGGAGGCCCTTTATTTATTTTTTTAAAAGATTTATTTTATTATTTATACAAGAACTGGGGTACAGACCAGAGGTGTGGGAGGGTGAGAGAATTCACCAGACAGAGAGGGGAGCAGAACAGGCAGATGGACCAAAAACACTGCTGAGGGGAGCAGCAGAAGAGACAGGAGAGGTCTGCTGCACCATGTGGGTATCTCCCTGGTGGGCCAGGAATTGAACATGCACTGCAGAGGCTGCAGACAGCTTCACAGCACTGTGCTCAACCCGCTGTGCCACCAGGGAGGCCCTGAGAAAAATAATTTAAATGTTACATAGGTTCCACTAAGTCTTTAGTAGAGGTGCTCAATTAATAAACATTATAACATTATATAACATTATATAAGTTTTAGATATTATACTTTACACATTTTGGGATCAGGCTTCAGTTTAGACACTGAAATACATGAAAAAATACATAATAAAGACAGTTTAATCTGTGATATTTTAACAAAGAAAACTCAAGGGAAATCACCTGGAATGTGAAAAAAGACTATCAAACTTATCCAAAAAGTACAGAAAACATCTTTATGACCTCAGGGCATGAAAGATTCCTTAAATAGGATCCAAAGTAAACCACAAAGAGAAAACTGATAAATTTTATTACATTAAAGCTTAAAGAGACAAAGTGAAAAAAAAAAGGTAAACCATGCCACAGACTGTAAGAAGATATTTATTTTCAAAATATATAATTGATAGCTGGCAAAAGGTTGTAAAATCCAGAATATATGAAGAATATTTAAAAATCACAAGAGAAAGACAAAGGATTCAATTTAGAAATGGACAAAGGAAACACCATTCACAGAAGACTATATTACTAAGCATATTAAAAGATTCTTATGTTCACAATGGAATTTATCATGGAAATATAATCACAATGAGCTAAATCTCATTCACCAGATCTGCAAAATTGAAGGGGGACATTACCTAGTGAGGCAAGGATGCCAATCTAAAGGTACACTCATACCACTAGAACAAATGTAAATTGGTCCAATGACTTTAGAGAGCAATTTGACATTATGTAGGCCAGAGCAGTGTCTTTCAAGCTTTTCTGATTTTATACACACAACACACACACACACACACACACACACACACACAAACACACACACCTGGAACAGTAGCTTCACAAAATAATTCTTTCCCTTCCTACATTAAATGCTATTTCTATTTTATTCTAGTCTATTCTACCCTACCCTTTTTCAAATTTCATTGTTCAAAGAAACTGATGGTCTCGGCTCACTAAAATAATTTCAAGATCACTAATTAAGTTATGCCTGCAGATTGGAAAATACTGACCTAGATGATCTCTAGAGCATACACTAGAAATAGCAGGCAGAATTGATCAACAGAATTTAAAAATTGTGTCATGTACATACCATACAGCAATTAAAATAAATTATCTAGATTTCCCTTCAAATCAATATTCACCAAAAAAAATCACTAAGACACAGAATATACAGTATGCAACTGATCAAGTTTGATAAAAACAATACTACTTTAATATTTTATAGATACTAATACAAACGTGGCTGGACTTTGATGGAAATTTTTTCATAAGAAAGTTTTGATGGAGATAATGGTAAAGATAAAATTTGCCATGTAAATCTATCAATGAATTAGTATGATTTGACTGGTCAATCTGACAAGATAGTTTTCAAGATTTTAAGCTTAAATTGAAAGAATCATCTGACTATGGAAGAGTAAGTTTACCCACTGTAAAGGAAAACATTTTAGAATCAAAATGTTATTCTAATATTGCCTTTACCATGGATATGAGAATTCAAAAAGGGTTTGATAATGACAACTGATTAACCACAACTTCACGTTTGGTAAAATAAAATTTTATTAATACCATACATAAGACTATAATAACTAATAGACACAGTATATTATCTTAAGTGCCATGGAAGAAAAATTCCAAAATAGAAAAAAGTTAACCTTTAGTATATTAGAAAGGTAATAATGTATTTTCTACTTATTGTCCAAATCTGCTTACATATTTCCTTATTTTCTGCACAGGAGGGTAATGTTTCTCAGAGATCCAAGAACAAAGGATGACACTTGTATTGGGAAGATCTTCACAGTGACATGACATAAGGTCATCCCAGTCAGTACTTACTATATGTTAATTGGTTTATCCCTTACATGTGTTTGGGGATATATGACCTTGGCTCCTGTTTAGAGTTCTTATCATTCAGATTAAAAAGTAAAATAGGGCCTCCCTGGTGGTACCAGGGGTTAAGCACTGCACTATGAAGCAATCCGCAGCCTCTGCAGCATGAGTTCGACCCCCAGCTGGCCAGGGAGCAACCCACATTGTGCAGCAGACCTCTCCTGTCTCGCCCACTGCTCCCCTCAGCAGTGTATATCAGTCAGTCGGCCTGTTCTGTTCCCCACTCTGTCTCGGTGAATCCTCTCACCTACCCGACCCCACCCCTGCTTTTCTCTGGCCTATACCATGGCTCTCGTATGCATAAATAAATAAATCTTTAAAAAAAAATGTAAAATAGTTTCTTATGCATTTCCTCATTTTATTTAAATGTAATTTTAAAAAGCTTATGCTATTATAGAACCTCATTGTGCTGATATTTGCCTTGCGATAAAAAAGAAAATGAGAGACAAAGTGCATTATCCAAACAGAAATTCCTGCCACTGCTCTCTGCTTTTATTTATTTATTTTTGTGAATAAGATTTGGGTGTAGGCCAAAGGTGCAGGGAATGAGAGGATTCACCAGAGACAGAGTGGGGAGCAGAATAGGCGGATTTACTGAAATACATTGCTACGGGGAGCAGTAGTGAGAAAGGAGGTCTGTTGTGCCATATGTGGGTTAGCTCCCTGCCCAGGATTTAACTCAGGCCATAGAGGTGATAGCGCTGAGATTTAATCCCTAGGCTACCAGGGAGGCCTACTGCTCTCTGCCTTTAAAGGGTCCAAGTTGGACACTTAAAGGCAAATGTTTCAAGTTTTTGCAAGAGGCAATTTTTAAAACCAAATATATGTCAACTAAGGTAATCTTTTGTGCACGTTTCTACTTAGGCTTTTTTCCAAAATTTGCATAGTTCCACAATTTATTTCCAATTTCTTCCTCTTTGGTGCAGTAACTCATTACTCATATTTTCTATTTTAAGAATTTCTCCACATTCTACATTCTCAACTACAAATTGGAAGACTAGTGGACAAGCAAACAATCTTTTGCTAGCTGAACATGATAAACTCACTCCTAATCTCATAAAACAGGTAAAATAATTTCTTTCCCTGAACAAAGTTTATGATTGATAATCTCCACATATTATTGTTGGTAATATACAATAGTAATACTACAAATCATTCTCTCTGCTAATATGACATGTTTTATATTACCTGGAAACATTACTGACTTAAATAGTTAAACTGATTACAGGACCTGTATTCATTTACCTAATATATTCAACAAATATTTATTTCATGCCTGTAGTAGTATGTGCCTGAGCTAGAGGCACAAACTGACCTGAAAGCAAATACATTCAAAAATAACAATAATAATGTGGAACAAAAGGCCATCCAGTTCTTAGTTGCTTGTGCCAACATTTCCCCAATAGTACTCAAGGACCTGAAGAGTTAATAAACCAGACACACTGTATCTGTAAGAGCAAAGCATTTTTCATGGAAAGTGTTATTTTACAGTTAAACAAGCCCTTCTAAATGGTGGTAACTACTCTCTAGAAGTGACCTATAAGAAAAAGTTTTTAAAAACAAAAACACCTTAGGAATTTCTACAGAGAAAGTCAAGTGTTCTATATTTTACATTCAATTTAATACTATGAGGTCAATTCTAAAGTTATGCTTAAGGAACATAATACATAAAAAAGTTTTCAATGCTTTTAACAAATTCCCCTATTGGGGCAACACAGTTGATGCTTTTAAGATCAAAGACCCAGGACATTAAAGAAAACCAATGTCTTTTAGGTCACCGGCACCGCAAACACAGCAACAGTGTGCTAATGAATTCCATACCAAGTAAATGCCATTGGGTAACAATGGTTTATGACTACACACTTAGCTGAGTCATTACATAATATCTATAACACCTTTTTAAGTGTCATCTATAACTTTTAATAAAAATGATATAAACTAATGAAACATGATCCCAGTTGTCACCTGCAAAAAAAGTGATGTCAGCTATAATTTAGCTCTACTTGAATACTACCTCATAAATCAATGACAACAGTAAGATACCTACACAGCTGCTAAATAGCCTGAGACAATTATTAACAGTATGAACATAACTAAAAAACCTAAACTGCAGCTGAAACCAAAGCACAATCTCAAAGAAAATGGTGTTGTCATTGTTTATGGTAAGCAGGAAATTGACTTGCAAAACACAGAAACATTCACTATTTTATTTATTTAGATTGAAAATCTTCAATCCAAAGCAAAATTGTATTTAAGAAGATTACTGAGCTCATCAATGTTGTTCTTTTCAGCCACACATAGCAAATGGGTTACTTTCAAATATGAAAAGAAACATCAACAAAAACTACACAAATATGTTGAGATTGTTATACTACCTAAAATAAATTGCTACTTGAGAAATTTGTGAATGCATTTGAAATTTAAGTAAATACTCCTTCAACATGGTAGACCTTCTTGGACTTGATGCATTTCCATTTGGGATTCATTTTGTTTTATATCATTTATTCCCAGCATAATACAGAATATTTTATAATATCTCGATTTATTGTTTACTCACATACTGTCATCCATTGGTACTTATTAGCTCAAAAATATCTTCCATAGGAAAATATAAAGAATAGATCTTAGCCCAGGTTAGATTAGTAAGATTGAATACATGTAGAAGACACAGATTAATGTAGAATAAAACTATCATGACTAAAATTTCCAGATTTCGCCATGTGATCTAGATGCACAGTCCTTATCTATAATTAAAGTGAGAAGGATCATGTTAACCTTCCACTGAAAGATACTGTGGATATCCCTTTTCAGGGAAACAAGTTTATCTGCTCCCTTGAAGTAGTATCCTCATTGTCCATCTATTACCATTGAATGGGAGTCCTGATGTTCCACTGCAACACTGATAATTTCATTCCTAGTCTCAATTCTCTTTCCTGGTCAATTATGATTTACAGTAATTCAACTCCAATAAAGCAGAGTTATTTAGGATTATCTTAATTTCACTTTAGTCTAGTGATAAAATTGAAATTAAATATGACAGCTCCTAAAGACATAAGCAAATCTCACAGATACCCTATATTTAAAGTTTTAGATTAATAGTTTTTGATATTTAAACATGGAATGTAATCTATTTAAGTAAAGAAGCGGAGGGGAAAGCACACTTAACTTTCTAAAAGTGTTCCTCTTAATCTACCTTTTTTTCTAAGTCTCCTTTTGATTATGAACTAAAATTTGGTTACGCTTGTCTGGTTCATTCAAAAATTTTCTAAGACAACAACTTCGTACCTGAAATCTTAATACCTGAATGGTATTAAGACATGTACCCATGTAAATCTTCTATGGTTTCAAATAAAGATAACCCCAATCTTAGAAAAGAATTTCAATAGTCGTCCACAGTGAAAGGGACATTAAAAAGGAATTGCAAAGTACAGTAAAAAGTGAAAAAAATAAGCAGATTTCTCTCAATATATCCATAATAATTGCTTGGCTAGTCTCTTCCATTAAAGAGCCCAGTCTCAACTGATGTGCAGAGTTAAAAATGCAAAATTCTAAGTAATTTTAACTCTATTTAGAAAAATATTTTAAATCTGTGTGCCATAAAGGATAGATTTGTCTCAATGGTCAAACTATGGCATAGGAGCTTAGAAAGATATACTAGAGAACACATTTTCTTGCAGAAAGATATTTAATTTTAAAAACCAACTCTTCATCATAAACACCTTCAATATACTCTTCAGACCTTCCATAACCATGCTGTTTAAACTTGCGGCTCACACCTACAATCACAATCCCATTCTCCTTTTTCATAGTATGTAAAGTTTTTAACAATAATTGTTAATTGTTAATCATTCTTTGCTTTGTAAATTCCAGAGAGAAGGAATCTTTGTTTTGTTCACAGACATATCCTAAGACAAACCGGATACAAAGTACTCACTCAACAAATGTCTGTGTGAATTCAGCACAAAATATTTCTGGAGTCAGATTCCAATTTCATTTATATTACTAACAAGTATGTATACTGAGCTGCAGTTATGGGAAAGACAGATCGTACATAAACAACAGAGAGTGACAAGCGCTACAAAGCCAAATAGAGTGGGTAAAAGGCTGGAAACCAGCACATCGACTATTTTAGATGAAGGAGTCACCTCTCTGAAGTGATGGCGACTGGTTTGAGACTTGTAAGAAGTTTACCAGATTTGGGGTGGCAGGGGAGAGTGAGCCTTGGATATGGATAAAATAGCAAATGTATAGCGTGGAAATTAGCAAGCCTGCCAACAGCAATAAAGCCTGCTGCTGGGAGGGGGGTGTGCAAGAATGTATTGTTCCAAATGTCTTTACCTACTATTCAATAGCATATATATATATATATATATATATATATATATATATATATAGTTCAGTGTTCTGGGAAATAAATTACATTTTACCTAGGGTACTCAGATTCTGATACTAAGTGCTTCTTTTATTCCAAATGTCAGCACATCATACAAGATTACAAGGCACACCGTAATGACATCTTTAAGAACTGTTCCAAATAGCTCCAGAGTCAAGAAACTGATTTAACTATGTACCACTGCCTAGGAAGGTATAAGGTCCAGCAGGAACCTAGGTATAAGGCCCAGGGCAAAGCCAGGAGCATCAGCAAACAATGAACAGTGACTATCACTTTCCAGTCTGGGTAAAGGAAGCGATTCCAAGCCTCTGTGACCTTTTACCACTTTTATTCAGCTCTGACCAAGAATAAGTGGCCAAGTGAGGCACCAGGCAGCTCTATCACATGCACTTCGTTACAGTCCTAAACTTGAACTGTTCCAACATTTTATGTAAACAAAAGCAAAAAGTTCACTCTGAACTCGCCTTCCAACTGAGGCAGGAAGTCCTTTCTCGGTCAAGGTGGAGGACTTGCAAAGTTTTCAACGTCTGAAAATCTCTGTCTCCAGGGCTGAACAGAGAGCAATTTCTTCCAGCTTAAAATAGAGACTGATGGCGAGTTATCCCCATCTCTCCACCGCAGCTCCCAAACAGCTTTGCCTAACCGAGTCAACTTTCTGGGCGATTCCTCAACCTCAAGTCCAACTGCTAAAAGCATAATAAAGAATAAGCGATCCGGTTGGGGGCCCAGTAGCTGGGTGACTGGATTTTCCCAGGGTCGAGACCACTGAAATGTAAACGTCAGCAGCCTACGCGGGACGGAGAGTGGAGAGGAAAGACGACACTCCGAGGGAGGTGTCTCCCCTAGGACCCGGGATGCACCCCCGCCCCCCCAACCACATTGGTCGGAGGAAGCCCAGGACCGGGGAGGCTTCGAGGCGGCCACCCGCCCAGGGCGACGCCAAACGCGACCCTCGGGGGACGCTGCGCCCCCGCTAGCGGACTCGCGCATGCGCAACGCCTCCCAGGCCCGCGGCCGAGCGGCGCCCGTCGCCGAGCCTCGCACGCCCACCCGCTGCCAGGTTCGCGCACGCGCGACGACGCCTCGGCCCCGGGTCTGGGAGGGGGTGTAGCCCCAGAACCCGGCTGCGGCCCGGCCGGCGGACGTGCGCACGCGCCAAGACGCCCGCGCAGCGATTGGGAAGGGCTGGCCCCGCACCCCCGGGGCCTCCCCGCTGTCGCCTCCCCGTCCCAGAGCTCGGCACCCCGGGTCGGGGAAGGTGGTCTGAGCTGGGGTAGCCGAAGGGGCCCGCTCCGAGCCCGCCGCCCCCTCTGGACTTCCGACGCCATTCCCCGTCCCCTTACTGCAGCGCAGCCCGAGCCACGTCCGCTCCGCCTCCCGCGTCGCCGGGACTGCTCGGTCGGAGGCCCGGCGCCGCGACGAGCTGGCGCCTCCCCCCGCAGCGGCCCGGCCTCGGCGGGAAGCGCGCTGGAGCCCGGCGGGGAAGGCAGGGGCGGGAGAACCCGGGGAGGGGGCCGTCCGCGGCGCCTCGCCCCTCCTCTCCCTCCACTGCCCCTCGCCGCCGCCGCCCCTTCGCGCCGACTCCCCCGCTCTGAGCGAGCCCTGGGACTGGACACCGCTTCTCCCTCTGGGTCCGTCTTCGCTCCTTCGCGGGCTTCCCTTCTGGGCATTGTCACTGCTCCAGGCTCTGATCCTCCACGTCTGGGGAATTTGGAGGTGCCTGATCCGCGTGCCGCACCGTGGGCAGCCTCTCCCAACTTTTCTAGTGGTGGCCCCTTGATCTGGGGGCCCACATCAGTTAACGGTTTCCCTCTGCTGTCACCTCGCTGCGTGGGGCTGAAGGCCTGTACCCCGCAAAACAGCGCTGGAATAGTGATGTGTGCTGAGGGGCTGACCTGAGTTACCTCGGGACCAAGGTCTTCTAAATAGAATAACCGCCCTCTCGCTTTATTTGCAGAATTTTTTGTATTGCTCTGTACTTATGTTGACCGTATAAACTTTAGTAACATGAACCATCACTTTATAATACACAGTAATTTATTTCACTTTACTACACTTAGACCGGAATGGGTTTATGTAAAATACTCCACAATACTATTAGCTCTTTCTATGAGATACAGCTGGTTGCTTTTATACTGATTTTCCAGTGAGGACGCAGGTTCATCGTTTAAATTATTTGCTAAGACTAGCACAGCCAGATAGAATAACAGATTTCAACCCAGAGTCAGCATGTCAGTCCTTTGTTTGGTCTGGCTTTTATCGTTTCATCGGAAAAGCATCATTCAAGTGTCTAACTGCCTGTATTGCGGCTGCTATAGTTGGCAGACATTTCTGTTTATTATCAGAGCACAATCTATTAAGCCCCAGAAGGAGACTTAGATTTATTTGATTTTATGGAGTATGAGCAGGACAAAATTCTCAACAAGCATGTCGTTGCCTAAGACAAATTTTGCCCCTTAAACAATTAGTTACTCTTAGGCCTTCTAATATAAACCATGACATAACCATAACGAAGGGCAGCTTGGAGTTTTGTTTTTAAAAGGAAAATCAGAAGGAATTCCTTCAGTAGGATTTATGGGAGTGGATGGTCAGACTAGGACAGTAGTCAAATGAGGTAGTGTTACCATTGAACATACCTTCCTTACACAGCAATTATTTGTGATATATCACTAAATTGTTGAAGGTATAGATCATGTCTTTAATATTTGTATCACAAAATGCTTCATAAATGTTTTGAAATTAAAAAAAATCACATTTTTAGTTTCTCAAATACGCTTTATGGGAACATAAACATAAACCTTCTACTCTCTCTACTCTTTGGATTGTTTGAGCCAGTTCTAGTACTGACTGCTTGAACTCACTGACCTCTTAAGATTAGTTGATATCTAATTCAAAAAGTTTTAAATCGGGCCTCCCCGGTGGCGCAGCGGTTGAGGGCTGGGTTGCTAAGTTGCCCAGCAGCCTCTGCAGCGCCAGCGAGGGTCCCACATGGCGCGCAGACCTCTCCTGCTGCCTGCTGCTCCCCTCAGCAGTTAACTCCAGTCCTTCTGCCTGCTCTGCTCCCTGCTCTGGCTCTGGTGAATTCTCTCACCTCCCACGCTTCTGACTGTACCCAGTGCTTGTAATAAATAAATAAATAAATCTTTAAAAAAAAAGTTTTAAATCACCTTTGTTTATACCTTGATCAACTTTCTCTTGCAGTAAAGTCACATAACAGTGAAACTGCATAAAAATATTGATTACTTTTATGAGGGGCTTTCCCTCTCATTACCACTAATGCTAAAATTCATTATCAAATAGAATTGAGTAATTAAACATTAGACAAATGTCACTTTACCCTTTAGTCAGACTCTGTATTTAAGGCATTTTAGAAGACCATTTAGCAAAATTACAGAAAACTACTTCATATAGAATGTAATGCATAATTTACAATCAACCTATATAATAATTCCCTGCAAGAATGATACTTCTTTACATATTAGTATTTGTTTTGAGATTTAGGTATTTTTAAAATAAAATAGATACTTTTTAAATGACCTGAAATTATTCCTAAATGAGGAAAAAAATGTTATTTTATGGCATAGACTTTTCTCCAGTTTCTACCACTGACATATGTGGAACTTAATATTAAGTTGTGATTACAAGAAAAAATTAACAGGTATAGCCCTAGAATATAAAATGGGAAACTTCAAGTTAAAATCTAAACGTTGGAATTTGGGAAGACACTGTAGGAAATGTATATAATACTTAAAATTTTACCTTTGCCATGCTATGCAGTAAATAAATATTCTTCAGTCACTTTTAGAAATGCGTTGCCTAGTGTATTTCTGGAGGCTTAACTACGTTGTCTTATTTGAAGTTCACATGACAATCCTATAAGACAGGAATTATCCTCAGTTATAGCTAAGACAACTCAGATTCCAAAAGATTGTTATTTCCATCAGCTCCCAAGGCCAGATATGTCTGCCTTACCCATTTCATCTTTTCCAGATTATGGACAGTTGACATTCATAGTTTCCTTACACTATGTTTCTGCTGAAATCTGACAATTATTTAACAATAAAAATATTTTATTATTATTGTTTATTGTGATTATTTTCTCACAAGCTAAAACTGTTTCTTTAAAATATATATGTATAAAAAGTATTTTATTAAATATTTTCATTGTATTAGGGACCCAACATTTTTTACTGGAGAGGTCAGAATTAAAAGCAGGAAAGAAAGATAACTAGATCATGTATAAATAAGTCTTCTTTAAAAATTTCTGGATTATCTATACTACTGCCTTAACCTTATTGTTAAATTCATTAAACTAAAAAGTTGTACTTTTGAACAAGGTAGGTCATAGGTCTAGGTCGGCATTTTAGAGGTTAAGATTCTCATCACCATATCTATCAAATTTACATATTGTCTTAGTTCAGGCTGCTTTAACAACAAACTGTAAACTGGGTGGCTTATAAGCAATGGAAATTTGTTTCTAACATTTCTGGAAGTCTGAGAGTAGGGTGCCAACCTGATTGGATTCGGATGACTGCCTTCTTCCAGATTACATACTGTCATCATCTCGGCCCTCACACTGGGAAAAGAAAGCACGTGACATTTTTGGGATTCATTTTATAAGGGCACTAACCCCAATTCAAGAGGACTCCATTTCAGACCCCAGTCATACCCTAAAGGACTCAGATCCTACTACTATCCTTTATGAGGTTAGTGTTTCATCACATGAAATTTTGGAGAGATACAAACATTTGGTCCATTGCACCTATCTCTGGACTATGCACTGTCCTATTTGTACTATCTGTCTTCTCTTACATTTTCAAAGTTGTTGCTCTAGCCATTGTCACCTCTGAATCCTACATTATTAATTTTTATCTCTATGTTGGATCATTCCCGTATGCATGTTAACACTATCCACCATATTCCCACCTTTTAAAAAACTTTCTGACAACATATCCACTTCTACCTACTAGCCTATTTTGCTAAGTCTCCCCCTAAGCAACTTGAGAAACTGTATTCTCATTCCCTCACCTATTCATACTTGTATCCATTCTAATTAAGCTTTCTCCCCCTCCCTACCCCCATACCTCCACTAAAATACCTCTTGGCAAGGTCACCAGTATTTTGCCTTATCTATGGTTAATTCTCAGTTATTTTACTTGGAACTTTGTTTACCCATCTTGAAGCATTCACTTTCTTTGCTTGACCTTCAGAGAGGCCCTCTCTCTTGGTTTTTCCACCTCACTGGTGGCTCCATTGGTGGATTACTTCCCATCGCCCACAATTTCAGCCATTAGCAAGTTCAGAGTTCCATCCTTGTACTTCTCTATCTTCTCATTTCTTTGATGACTTCGTTTGTTCTTCAGATACAATATTTAGTTTTCAGCTCCCCGGCCACTCCTGAGACCATTTCCCCCAACATTTTGCCACATCTATGGTCCTAATAGATTCATGACTCTTCTCTGATGAAAACTGGAGCCCTTGTTCTTTTCTTTTTTCTGTTTGTAATGGGGATCCAGTCATAATGGGACAATCTTGCCTTTTAAAACCTCCAAAGTAAAGAGAATTCATCCTGGTTTTTTGTTCCAGATAGCCAAGTACCAAAGGCCAATTACTAAAGAGTTCTTTTGAGAATTAAAAAGAAGTCAAATTCCTCCTTCCAGAAAGGAGGAAAATGGTTTCTTCTCTCTCCTGCTTGTTGAGTCTTTAGCAGCAAAATTAAGCAAAAGTAAATGTTTTTGTTGGTCACCTTGTTAGAGATTGAATGAAAAAAGGCTGAACTTCAGTGCCTAGTATGGAATTGATTAGGTAATAACCTCGGAAAACAGAATTGTTTTCTAGAACTTAAATACCTCAAGGCTTTATGTATTTGGTGATTTTCTTATGTTTCTAAGTCTTCTCTTCTACACTTAAGATAATACTATATTGCAAAAGATGTGTGTTTAATCAGTTCACTATATTCTGGGAAAGCTGGGCAGAAGCTGAAGGTTGAAAAGACTGGTTTGGTGCAAGAGGTCTGATTGAAAGGAACAGTTCTAGGAGAAAGAATTGGATGGGGGAATTGGGAAGAAGTAAGGAAAGGGGAGAAGACCACTGAAAACAACCTATTCCTTGATCAGAGAGAAGTGATAGTCTCTATATCAGATAGGCATTTTTTTTTCATTTTTTCAATTTTTGGTTGATAATTTCATCTCATATATTATTCTTCATAATGTCATTGCTATTATCAACTATATCTCTGGGGAACATAGTTTAGAAATACAGCTAAGTTACCAAAAAAAAAAAGAACAGCTTTGTCAAAGATTAGTTGACTATAAGTCTGCGGGTTTATTTCTGGATTTTCTGTTTGGTTCCATTGGTCCATGTGTCTGTTTTTGTTCCAATACCATGCCGTTTTGATTATTATGGCTTTGTAGTA